GTGAGCACTAGCCTATCCCGAGGGTTGGTGGATGAAGGGAGTGTTGCTGTTTGGTGGTGGGGCCAGGATGGGGAAGGAGGGAACGAGTGCGGTGAGGGGGCTGTGGCGATGCACGTCGTTGGCCCAGAGCGTGCCTGCGACTGTTTTGGTCTCGGATTCGAGGTGGACACTTCTTGGAGCTGTGTATGTGTATGGGGTGTGTTTACGGTTTGTCATGCAAGCGTGTTTGTGTGGGTGTGGGTGTTTACTGTGGACAGGGTTGGTGGTTGGTAGAAGCGATTGAGTGCTCAGAGTCGGAATGCTTCTGTCTGGGTATCTGGGGTAGGTAGGGGTAGGGGTAGATGTTGTTTGCAGTGGGTGTAGAGCGGTAGTGGGTGTTCTGGCTGACTGTCTAGGAGGAGGAGGAGGAGGAGGAGGATCATGGAGACAAGAGGCAACAATCCAGAGCCATTACCGTACACTCGGCAACGAGGCTATGCTGCTCTGAGGCAGTAGCTATGAGTTATGAGGAAGAAGGCCATCCATGGCTATATACTGTGTACCTACTCTACCGTACGCTAGAATAACGTTACCATGTACCGTACCTACCCTTGGTGTGTGCTACCTCATCCAGAGTCGTGGTAATGGGTCTAGATGGCTGCAGAACTATGGTGCAGCCTAACATGTTCCCTATCCAATTACCTACTTTTTCGCATCCATGCTGAGACCGGTACACTACGTATTTTCCACCTGCACGGTAGGAAGGCAAGGTGAGCAGGGCCCCCGATCATCATCTTGATCGTGATTCTCGACCGCAGTGCCTGTCTGATCGCCTGCATCTAGCTGAGAGGAGACGAGGTTCCAAGACAGGCTTTTTGTGTGTCTCTTTCGCTCTCACTCTCACTCACTCACACACTCTCTCTCTCACTCTCTCTCTGTGCGTGTGTTTGTATCTATGCGTGCGTGCAGTGTGGGATAGTCAAAGAGAGTGTGGATGGTTGGGTTGGGCGCACGGGTCATCAACGGGCCGGCCAATCGAAGGCGGCGTCCGTCAAGTCAACTGCTCTGCTCTGCTCTGCTCTGCTCTGCTCTGCTCTGCTCTGCGCTCAGTGCTCACCCTGGTACGCCTTGGCTTGGCTCGCTCGACCCTCCACGCCCGGCTGCTCTGCTCTGCTCCCCGACCTTCCTCGTCTTCTTTCGCTTCTCGCTCCCTCCTCCCCCTCTCTCCACCCATCACGCCGCCCGCCACACTCCCCCTCAAGGGCGCTCACCCCTCCACCATGCACAAGATATCCAACTTCACCGGCCAGGCCCGGCACGGCTGGGAGAAGATGGCCCCCTCGACTGGCTTCTCGTTCTCGAGGTCCAACCACGAGATGCCCGTGGCAGCTCCGATCAAGCGCCCATCAACCGCTACCTCTGCCCCGCCTGTCATCCCCCCGGGCACCCTCGTCAATCTCTCCTTCAACGTGCCCTTTTCCTCCAACCTCGCTGGCCCAGACCCCGACGACATCATGTGGGCGAGTCCTGGAGCAAAGGCTCGATGGACTCATCCGGAAGGCACGGCAGACGCTGCTACGCCCACGCACAAGCTGCCTGTCCACGCCCAAAATGTCGATAATCTGCGCAACCTATGTCGAGAGATGAGCGAGCAGGGCGAGGGACGCGTCGTCCAGGCTACCGTCACCTCGGCCGAGTCCAAGCCATTGCCAGGCCTGCAGCGCGGTCCCTTGCGAGCACTCGTCACCAATGTCTGCCTGTCTGGCGAGCTGGAGATGGTCAACTCGATGCGGTGCAAGATCTTGAATTCCACGCCCATCTCTCTGGTAGGCCTTCTGGTGGAAAATCGTTGTACAGTGTGTGGGTTACAGTGGCTGACTTCTTGGCACAGCGCTCGTCATTTGTCGACATTGACTCGAACCTCATCATCGACCCAGCCTCGCAGCATGTCAAGGGCCCGGTGCTCCAGCAGCTCGATCTCATTGCCAAGACGACCAAGGCTGACATCTTCCTCCTCATGCCCAAGCAACCGGACATTGAGACGGCGAGCTTCCATGGCAACATCGATACTGGCATGGACCCCCGTCTGCGCTGCGCCATCTACGGAGACTTGGAGACGATGGAGCACGCCAAGACGCGTGTCCTGATCATGATTGACCAGATTGTGAGTTGCCTGTGCCCTTCCCCGCCCCGCCTGCCCAAAACTGACTCGTTGCGTAGCTCAAGCGATATGTCGACACGATGAAGCTTGAACTGACCATGCACACGTTGATTTGTGGGCGTGGACGCAAGAACATCAAGATGATTGAGTCGGCTACAGGAACCGCCATTTACTTCCCGCCGCCGTTTCCCCGCCTGTTTGGTTACACGCCTCCCGGTGCACAGCGCAGACCTGATGACCTGGTCTACATCACAGGGGAGAACTCGGAGAATATCCTTCGTGCCAAACAGCGCCTGCATGACCTCGTCATGTCCACCAAGGTCTTTGTGAAGCCCGTCATGGTGACCGACACCAAGCTCGATGCTATCCTGCTCGAGCGTCTTGACAAAGTGCGCAAAATCATCGAGAACAACGGCTCCTACATTCTGCTGCCCCCTCTGGGTGTCCAGCGAGGTGTGGTCCGAGTGCAAGGCACGGATGTCTTGCATGTCGAGCGGACTGTGCGCGAACTGATGCAGCTTGTGCGTCCCTTCCTGTTTCCCACAATCCCCCGCTTAGACTAACACAGGATAGGCCGGTCAATTCTACAGTGCTTCGTGGTTCATCACGCATCCTGACCCCACCCAGCGCCCGCCTACCCAGGCCGATGTCCGTGCTATGCTCTCTGATATCTGCATCAACTCTGGCGCCGAAGTCAGCTTTGAGAAGCTCAACTTCCACATCTACGGATCGGATGATGCTGTTCGGGCTGCATTGATGGTCATCAGCAACATTCCCTTTGTCAAGAAGTCGCAGTACAATATGAGCGTCAAGATTGAGCTTGCCAATGAACACAAGGAATTCGTCAGCGGCAAGAAGAATGGCAAGATCAACAAGATCATGAGCCACAGCAGCGTGCAAATCGTCTTCGATGGCTTCAACGAGTACAACTTCTACATTGTCGTCCGTGGCGCTCAGTACGAAGCGACCAAGAGCGGTCTGGATTTGGTTGAGCAGGAGATGCCTGCGTCCATCTCGTTCCATGTGCCTGATCAGTACCACAAGCGCATCATCGGCATTGGTGGCCAACACATTCAACGCATCATGAAGAAGTACTCGGTCTTTGTCAAGTTTTCCAATGCCATGGACCGTGGCGGCTTTGGCAAAGAAGAGGATGACATCAAGGTCGACAATGTCATTTGCCGTACGCCCGCACGCAATGCTCAAAACCTTGATCTAGTCAAGCAGGAAATCATGGACATGGTCGAAAAGGCCGATGCGGAGTTTGTCTCTGAGACGATCAATATCAACCGCTTGTATCACCGGGAGCTCATCGCACGTCTCGACAAGATTGATGAGTTGGAGAAGAAATTCAACTGCAAGATCACCTTCCCTAGCACCGAGGAAGCTAGTGATATTGTCACTGTCTCTGGCCCTGAGTACCAGGTGCCATTGGCGGTGGATGAATTCCTGGTAAGTCCTCACGAATCAACTCCAGGGGTGGTGGTGTCGATGTCTGCTAACACTTGCTTGAATAGGGCATGGTTCCTGAGTCCCATGATCTCGCCTTCCCCGCATCTGCTGACCTCAGCGAACATATCCGTTCTCCCGAATTTCAGACGGACATCATCGAAAAGTTGAAGACTCAGCACGTTGTGGACGCTCAGCTAAAGGACGCTCAGACTGAAACTCATGATGGAAAAGAGGAGCAAATTGAGACGTTTCATCTTGTCTTTACTAGGAACAACGCTGGTGGGCTCAAGGATGCCATTGATTTCCTCCTCAATCACTTGGTCATGCATGGCCTGGACACCAACACCGTTCGTGGTGCCCTCCCACGACCCAAATCCGATTCCTTTGAAGACTCTCTACCCTTCTTCGAATCCAAGTTGCTTCAACGCGCTGAGCCGGCCGTTGATAGCACCGACTCTCCCACCCGCTCCCACTTCGGCGACGATGAGCCCCGTGGCATGCTCGACAGGCTTCGCAAGCCTGGAAGCATGTCCTCTTTCACTTCCATCTTCAATGGACGAAAGAATACCAACTCTCCCGGCTCCCTTTTCAAGCATGCTTCCAGCAATGCTTCCAAGGCATCCCTTGCCAGCCTCGAATCCACTGGCAGCTACCGCAACCCATGGAACGACAGCGGCATCAATCTTGCGGATGACGAGCACCATACCAATGGTTGGTCTATGCCAACTCCACGCTTTGAATCCAAATTTCCTTTTGGTTCTTCTTCAGCGGCGTCTGGGGACGTGACCCCCAGGTACGACCCGCGGGGCTCCGTGGACAGCGGCCGCCCCAGTACTTCTCATTCTGCATCTGGATACCCGGCCCCTATTGGGCCTCCTCGTTAAGTGATATACCATTTCGAATTACTTGATACCATCACTACTATACTGTACCGGCTTTACGAAGAAATACCCCCGCTACGCCTGTCTGCTGCCCTCTGCCCCCCTCTCTCGGAATTTACGCGCGACTTTATGCGAACGAAAAAGAATTATACCCCTCTCACTCGATGGCTCAAACTTGCAAGAGGGGCCTGACGGGCTGCTTGTTGTGATTTGCGCTTGGTTCGCTTATGTTTTGGTCTTTTGCATGATTTTTCTGTCTCTCTGTTTCCCTTTTGGAGTTGTGGAATTGTGATGATTCCCCCTCGGCGCAAACAAATATACCAATTTGCTGCTTTGTGGATTTTACCTGCTTTTATTGCTTTGCTGTGTTTTCTGGATGAAATGAAAGAAGAAATGGGGTCGAGCAGGGGAGAATGGAGGAGATGGCCCCACCAGCCGTGGTGAGACGGATCTTGGTGGGATACGATGTTGGTGCATGACCATCTTTTGTACGAGGAGAGGTTGCTGTCTTTTGAAAACGTGGCAGGGAACGCAGGATGTGCTGCTGCGGGAGGAAGGGGGAGAGGAAGGAAAAGTTTTGAGCCTTGAGACGACACCACACAGTAGACGAATGAGACTCACGTATACCCAATGTCGCCTTCCATTGCTCGTGTCCGAGTGACTGTTTATTGTAACGGACGAAGGTTAGAGTAGTCGTTCCTTTCACCGATCTAGGGGTCTAGCGCCAAGTCACTCGACAACATTTGCGCAGAAGTGACGTCGGGGTTAATTTTGCTTAGAGCCGAACGCTCTTCCTGCTCCTCTCTGCCATTCAGCGTCATCCCGAGGTCGATCACCTTTTGCCCAAAACACTGGGCTGTATTCCTCCCACGTTCCATTCCCTCACAACAAGCCGCCCTATCGCGCCAATTCTCATCGTGTTCATTTCTAAACCATGGCCACTAAACGCGCCGTCCAACTCTTCACCCTCCGCTCCCAGCCCTCCTCGGTCATCCGCAGTCGCCAGACGCCACAACTACTGGGTTTGCTGCAGGCTCCGAGGACAATCAGCCATGTAGCGCGCGGACTTGACTCGCGGAGAAGAGGTGTCGCAATTGAAAAGGCGACGAGGTTGTCAATTGACAGTGTGCAGAAGCGATGGGATTCGGGTTCGGCGGGGCAGCCGGGAGACGTGAAGTTGTATGATTTCGAGGATGTAAGGGTGATTTTTTTTAAAAAAAAATCTTGTATCATAGAGGGGGTCGATAGGGATTTTGTGATCGTCGAGAGTTTTGCTTTGACTCGCTAACACCAAACCACCGAACCTAGGTCCTCGAATCCGTCGAATCCCCATCCTCATCCCGCCTCCTCATCGACGTCCGCGAACCCCACGAATTCGAAGCAAACGCAATTCCCACCGCCATCAACCTCCCCGTCGTCTCGCAACCCGACGCCCTCTTCCTCAGCGAAGAGGACTTTGAAGATCGGTTCGGGTTCCAGAAACCGCCGGTGGGCAAGGAGGTTGTGTTTTACTGCAAGTCGGGCGTGCGCTGTCAGGCTGCCGCTGGCTTTGCGAGGCAGGCCGGCTATCTGAATGTTGGCGAGTATCGGGGCAGCTGGTCGGATTGGGAGAGGAGGGGTGGGCCGGGGACGAAGAGCCCGTCTGCGCCTGGGGGGATGGGGGAGGCCAAGGGGCCTGTGACGGAGAATAAGCCGACGGCTAGGACGGGGAGTGCGGGGGAGGAGCATTTGGGGCCAGAGGGTGTTCCGGAGCCGCCCGAGGGGCCGATGGGAAAGCAGTAGGGGAGAGAGGTTAAGGGCCGGCAAGGGGTGGCTTTGAAATATAATGGTTAGGTGTACGTACGTCATGACGACTCTGGGCTCGATTGATGATGAGTGTAAAAGTAAAGTTGGGCGTGGAATATCAAGAAGTCTAGGTATTCATTCTCCTTTGGCGATTGCCCGATGTCGCCATATTGATGAAGATGGGGTAAAGTGAGTGGCTTCTCTTCCTAGCAAAAGACAGGTACGTCCAATGTCCAATGTCCCTTTACATGCCCCCCACATCCACACTCACAACATATGACACAGAGTGAGAAGAGAAGTGACAACAAACTCCATCGACTACATTTTGGCAACAAAAGAAGAAGAAAAAAAAAAGAAAGCCAAAGACTGCAAACATGATCCTACCAGCCTCCACGAATACCATTTCAAGAACATCAACTACACTGTCAGACTACTCACCGATCTAGAGCCTGAGCTTGACACTATTGACAGATATTCCGTTAGCCAGCCCGCTCGAAACTCTGCACGCAAGACAGACGACAGACGACAGAAAGGAAAAGAACAAAGGGGGGAGGAGGGGATACAGCAAAGGGAAACAGTGAGGAAGAAGAAGACAATGAGGGATAAACTCACCATCTGCCAATACACGCCCTTTGCCCTCAACAAAGCCTGATGATTTCCATGCTCCAACACCCTACCCCCACCAAGCACATAAATCACATGCGCCTTTTGAATCGTCGCCAACCGATGTGCAACCGCGACAACGGTGCGTCCGCCCTCGCCCGCCGCCCGCTCAATCGCGTCCTGCACGAGGCGTTCGCTCTCCGAGTCAAGGCTGCTGGTGGCCTCGTCGAGGAGCAAGAGTTTTGGTTTACGCAGCAGGGCGCGGGCGAGTGAGAGACGCTGTTTCTGGCCGCCGGAGAGGGAGAGGCCCTTTGGGCCGAGACGGGTGGCGTAGCCGTCGGGCAGGGAGACGATGAAGTCGTGAATCTGGGCGGCCCGGCACGCGGCTTCCACGTCGGCGTCGGTGGCCGAGTCGACGGAGAGGGCGAGGTTGGCGCGGATGGTGCCTTGGTAGAGGGTCGGTTCTTGGCTGACGAGGCTGATTTGCTTGCGGTATTCTGCGGGGTCGAGCGCGGTGATGGGTTGGCCGTTGTAGAGGATTTGGCCGCCTGTGGCGTCATAGAAGCGCTCGAGGAGGCTGATGGTGGTGGACTTACCGCAGCCCGAGGCCCCTACCAAGGCGGCGAATTGGCCGGGCAGGATGCTGATGTTGAGGTTGGAGAGGACGGGGACTTCGCGGGATTTGTAGGCAAAGGAGACGTTTTGGAATTCGATGCCGACGCCTGCGGTCGAGTCGTTGAGGGGTGCGTACGAGGGCTCGGTCGTGTGTTTGGGGGGCCGCATGCTGAGCATGCGGTTTGCGGCGAGAGTTGCCTGGGCCATGTTGGGGGCAAAAGAGAACCAAGTTCCTGCTGCGGTTGCGCCTTGTACAATGGCCATGTAGGGGATGAAGAACATCATCAAGTTGTACTCACGAGAGGCCAACAGTGTGCCGCCGTACCAGAATGTCAGTGCCATACACGCCAATTCAATGCTATCACTGGCCGCGAAGACGAGGGTGTTAAACCTGGCACTGCTAAAGGCCGCTGCGACATGTCCTTTGAGCAACGAGTCGTATCTGTCCCCAATCGTTTCCTCGAGAATGAGACTCAGAACCGTGCGGAAGGCACCGACAGCTTCCGTTGCGAACTGACTGCTATCCTCAAATACCGACGCAGTTGCTTTCTCAAACTGCATTTCAAACCGCATTCGAAAGTATCCAGCGGCCAGAATCACGGGCATGGCAGCAAAGAGAGCTACTAGTGATAGTTTCCAACCGTAGATCAAGGCAATAATGCAGGAGCCAACAAGGTTGACCACCGCAATCAGTGCCATAGACATCTCAAGCGACATGAGCTGCTGCAACTGTGTACAATCGGTACTGAGCTGAGAAGTCAAAGAGCCTGGATTGTGTCCTTGCTCGTCAAAGAAGGGGATCCGCTTGCGAATCATGTTCTCGAGGTATTCTTGTCGGTACGTCCGAACGACGGCAACAGCGATGAGATGACATGCTGTTCCCAGCACAAAATACGCAACTCCGATGCTAGCGGCCAAGATTCCAAACATTCCGGCCCAAAAATTGCCCTGGTTGACAAGTTCATCGCCTGTGAGGACGAAGACGCTGATGAGTTGCGCAAAGATATACGCTTGAAGCGGATAGACGGCGCCTGCTGCCAGGATACCGATGACAGCAACACTGTACAGCACCCAGTGATGACGTTGTTCGTATAACAAGTATCCAAAGCTACGCAGTAGGCCCATGTTCTTGTACTCTGGGTCAACTCCGGAGACATTTTCGACCTGGTCACCTTCATGCGAATGTTGAGTGTCGTCGGCAATGATTTCTTCAGACCGAGAGTCCTCGACGATATCCTTGGCATCAACCGCAAGCTCCTGTGCCTTGACAAGCCCATGATAGACGCCTCCATCTAATTGAAGTAGTTCTTCGTGAGTGCCTTGTTCGACCAATGTGCCTTGACGCAGAACGACAATCTTATCAGCTCGTCGGATGGTGGACAGGCGATGAGCAATAACGATAGTCGTGCGGTTCTTCGACACTCTATCAAGCGCTTCTTGCACAATGCGTTCGGTCCGGACATCAATAGAACTTGTGGCTTCGTCCAAGATGAGAATTGGTGGTTGCTTGATGATGCTTCGTGCAATGGCAATGCGTTGACGTTGGCCACCCGAGAGCTTGACACCACTTTCGCCAACAAGCGTCTCGTAACCGTTTGGTAGCTTCGAGATGAATTCCTCGGCATACGCCTCTCGACACGCAACTTCCACCATTTTCATCTTCTCCTCTTTTGGCAGATGTTCATATTGGGTTCCACAGAGGCCAAACGTGACGTTATTGTATATGGTCGATGAAAAGAGAAACGGCTCTTGTTGCACGAGTCCAATTTGTGAACGCCACCACTTCAGGTCCAGGTTGCGAAGGTCGTGTTCTCCAATTCTGATTGTACCGGTACATGTGTTTGGTCCAAGATCTACTTGCTCTGCCGAGTCGTCGCCAGATTTGTTTGCCGTAGGCTTCTCGTCACCCTCTTTTACGACTCTCGTCTTTCTCGAGAACATCCCAAATTTCTTAGGCCTATCGTCTTGACCATTTTCAGATTGACCATGCGGCAATACTTCGACTGGATTTTCTGGTTTCTCGCGAGCGGTTGTTCCGTTCAGTTCGTACCATCTTTGGATAAGGCCAACTATCGTACTCTTTCCTGAACCCGATGGTCCGACAATAGCAGTGACCTTACCAGCTTCAAGATGCAAGTTGAGGTTCTTTAGGATCTGAACGTCCGGCCTGCTAGGGTAGGAGAATCCAATATCCTCGAACGTAATATTAGCATCGGCGGTGACCTCCGGCTCTTTCAATCCAGTGACCATGGGCCTCGGCGAATCGATAGTGATGAACAATTCGGTAGCGGCCGAAGCGGCTTTGCCGATGGCGACCATCGGACCCACAAGTCTCCCAATGTTCATGACCGCCATCATTACGGAGAAGAGAACGACAACGATAGAACTAATATCCGTAATCTTGCCTTCACTATACTGCTTGATGCCAAACCAGAACGTGATGGCAAAGGTACCAAACATACTCATCATGCTCGGGGACATCAGAAGCCCCATCAGCGGAGCGACTTTGCGTTCATTCATGGCAGCTTTATCAAGCAGAGTCGCGTGCTGGCTTGCCAACTTCTTCTCTGCGCCAAATGCTGTGATTATACGAACGGATGAGAACATCTCAAATGCCATGGCCGAAGCATCTTCATGAAGCTGTTCCGTGATCTTGTGTTTACGTATGAATGGCCCAATCATGGAGCCGTATACGAGAACAATGAATGGCAATGATGTCGATGCCACCAAGGTAAGTAACCAACCCTTGATGAAGGCAACAACGTATAGCCCAATGGTGAACTGGGGCAAAACATTTTCAGTCAGTGTGCATCTCCGAGGAAATTGGTTGGGAAAGATCGTACCGCTAGTGATTGGAACAGCATAGCGAAATGCTGCGAGATTGCCAGCTGAACAGTGTTCGACGAAGTGGTGATACGAGTCGCCACCTTGCCAGGACTAATGGTATCAATGACGCTGACAGACTGAGCGAACAAGGCACGGAGGTATGCCAGGCGGAGTGCGGCAGACATGCGTAGACCGCTGATGCGAACTGTGAGCTGCATGAAGAAGTCAGCATCGCAAAGACAATGAGTCGGAGACTGACAACTGACCATAGACAGGTAAGACATTACAAACTTCGCGATGAACAGATAGAGAAGTAGTAATGCTAGCCTGTTAATCTCTGCCTGGAACTCATCTCGTGTGACGGTTGTCCCCGGAGTAAAGTAACTCGTAAAGCTGCCAACCAGTTGGCCTGTTATGGATCAGTACATCATTGACGCTTTCGCGTGTGTAGCCAGACTCACCAAACACAACATTCATGAGTGGCATTGCGACACCTGCTCCGATGGAGCAGAAACAGCAAATAACAATGAGTATGAAGTCATATTTTGTTGCATAAGTGAAGACACGCTATTGTGGCTTCGTCAGACGGCGAATCGGTTCGCTGACGTTATTGTACTCACAAAGTAGTTCTTCAGGCCAGCCTGGGGCACCTTCTTCGCTTCACTGGGGCCATGATCATTGCTCTCTGCTATTTTCCTGTAGCCATCTTTCCCTATCCTCTCGAGTTCGACCGCCTGTGTGGTTAGCAGAGATCCCTCTCCCTCGGCACCCCTTGCAGGAGTCAACGGCCGGATGCTCTTGGACGACATGTTCACCTCTGCTCTGGATGACAGACTGTGCGCTCAGAGACTCCAAGGCAAACAGGTGCATTGAGAGACGAGTCGCAACGCAAAAGCTGATGTAAAAAGGGCGCGCCAAAAGTCGCTGCCTGAAAGCGAAGTCGCGTGGTCCTGCCTGATAAATGAACAACAAGCCTTTCCAACAACACTGTCCAATCGTGTTGGAGCGGCAGAGGTACAGAGTCCATTCCTTGTGGCCAGCGCGGTCGATATCTCGTTTTCCGCGAACAAGCGAAAAGGGAGGCTAAGATGGGCAGTGTTGTGAAAGGGAGCGTGGAGCGGGTAACCACGCTAACTACCCAATTGCCTCGCTTGCATCATAATCTCCTAATCGAGCGACGAGCTGCGAGCTGGGCACAGGAAACTTCGAGGTTGATGTTTCCAAGATGATTAGACCCGCGCCATTGTCAAAGTTGAGGCGTGTCAACACATGGAGACTCGACGGGGGATCGATGATGTACGCGAGACCATACATCGCTTATTCCCCTTTGGATAGCCAAATGCTGCTGCCTAGGGCAGATGACCTGGTGTCGATGCTTGGGCGATTTCCACGGCATCTCAAGCTAATCCCAATGGAGTGTGAATGGTGGCCAAGCTTTGCATGTATTGATGTGGGATAATGCGTGTAAGCTAAGCTTCAGCCGGATCTCGTACCGCATCCACAAGCCAAGGCAGCTCTCCCTGAATCAGTTTACAAGCTAGATGTTCTCCAGTATCCGATACACACCGGTGGTGAACATGCTCAGCGAAGTGTCGCCACCTTAGAATTGGTGCTTCAAGATTTCCTCTACTCTTTACCCTTGAGCTCGTCTAGCCTATCCTTCAGCCTATCCCACCCAGCGCTGTCCTCCCAATTCTCCTTTGCTTTGCCATGGACGCTCCTGATTGCGCTTCTCGCCTTGAATTTCCAGTCCTTTGCAACCAGCTCGCCACTATCTGCCGCCAATCCCTCGGTTCTCTCTCTTGGGCCCAACGTTTCATATGCGTCCACGAGGTCGATTGTCTGGTTCACAACCGCATTCCATTCAGCTTCAGTGCCAGACTCCCACTTGGGCTGCGAAGTCACGGCTCTCCAAGCCTTTTCATGGCACTCCAAAGCCGAGCCGGGGCGCTGAGTGTGCGTGTACATGGTTGCTAAGATAGACCATAGCTTAGGCGACACTGTAATGAGGGGCTTTATGTGCTTCTCAATCAACTCATTGATAAGACGTGGTAGACCCGGCCGGGTGATATCGAAACCTTGGTCTGATCGGACAGCATCTTTAACAAGCATGTCAAGGATCTCAGCATCAATGCACTTCTCCCCGTCGGTTGGGCCGCGCAACTCGCAGATGCGCCGTTGCGATGTGACGACATCGCTCCAGGATGGCGGGTTTGTAGAAGCTGCGACAGCGAGGACGTTGGACCAGATACGATAGTCGTCGTGTTTGAGAGTAGCCGCGCGCTTGAATGCCTTGAGCGCATCAGTACGAGGATGGTTGGTCACTCTGGTGACTGCCTCTTCTCCATCCTCTGCTTCAGTCTTCACTTTTGGCTTCAAATGAAGAAGGGATGCGGCGAGATTACTCCATGACTCTGCATCTTGATCATCGAGTTGCACGCAGCGAGAGAAGGCCTCTACGGCATTCTTGAATTGTTGAAGCTCAAGGTAAGCGCAGCCAAGGGCAAACCAAGCGGGTTGATATAATCCGTTGATTTTAAGAGAAAGCGAATATGCTTCGGCGGCCTTTGCATATTCGTGTTTTGAAATGTACCGCTGGCCAAGTGAACGCTGTGCACGAGCATACCGAGCACCAGAAACCTCCCAGGCCTTCTCGTACATGGAGAGATCGTCGTTGATGTCACCCAGAATGCAGTAGAATCGAGGTGCTTCCGCAGGTGGGGGGTCTCGTGCCGGCCCCTCCCATGCCTCAGCATCAGGATCCACATTCTCGTCGTCCCCGCCGGTGGCATGGAAGAGCTGTTTCCTGATCATCTTGCGCGCGCGGTCTTCCTTCTCTGTAGCTGCATAGCACAAGGCGGCCTCGGCCCACATTTCTAGCCTCTCGTAAATGTCTAGTGCAGACCGTAGACCGCCAACATTCACCCAGCGAGCCGCAAGCTCGGCCTCCAGCTCCCATCTCGAAGGTGAGCAAAGTGGAAAGATGTAGCGTAGACGTTCTTGCACAGGTGCTGCCTCGCCTTCTTTCGCCTGTGGCAAGAAAGATGTGACCTTCTCGCCCGTCTCGGCGTCGGTGGTGGTATCACCTGATGTTTCGGCAATGACTTGATCTACGAGTGCTTGTAATTGAAGTAGACCGCGTTCCATTGTCCGTGAGCGGTAGCCTTCGATACGACTCCTGACGAGAAGAGCCTGTGTGTAGACCTGCCAGTTGGAGCTTCCTCCTTCTAAAACCCGTGTTGCATATGGAATAGTTTCTTCTCTTGTCAAACCATCAGCTGGGTTTGTATTTTTGATGCTCTCTGCCATGGAAAGTAAGACGATGGAATCAAGGGGATCGAGTAATGGCTGGTTTGATGGATCCAAAGAAGTAAGGGAGGACGGCAGAACAGACTCGTCCTGAATTTCTGTAATTGCAGGCTTTTCAGTGAAGGCGATTGATTCCAGCAGCGTGTCGTCATTCAGATCCAGTGCTTCTGGTTTAGACGCAGTTGCCGTTGTCTCGTTCGTCTCTGAACTTGTACCCGCACTCCGCGCCAAAACAAGCAACTGGCTTGTGTCTTTCTGTTGGAACTTTGTTCTCTTTCCCATCAAACCAGTCAATGCGAATTGAAACTCGCGCTCTACCGTTGCTTGTTCCAGATCCGCTCTCGCCTTCTTGTCGAAGCCATGGTGGGTGTGTATAGCCGCACGTTCTAGCAAAAAGGTCGTATGCAGGTCTTTTAGCTCCTTTTCTTCTGTTCTTGAGCTAGCTATCAGGCTCTCCACAGTCTTCAAGTCTTCATAAATTGCACTTTGAATGCTAGGCGCTGGTTCGCTCAGCAATCTTTGGTGCATAAAGTTGACTCTTAATCGTGCCCATGAGGAGACCTCGATGTTCTTTTGTATTGGGGGACATATCAAGATCGTCTCAGCGAGACAGACAAGTTCGATATTTGGCGTCAGCTTGTAAGCCGCAATAGCATCAGCGCTTAGTGATGTGATAAGGTCTGCCCTCGTCTTGCTAAGCGCTGTTGCATCTCCAGAAATATTCTTTGGAAGCACAACTTCCGCAGATTTGAAGGGTAACGGAGGTCCTGTGACATTCGACTGTAGGAATGCATGAAGAGCTGCAATCGCGACGAGAAAAAGGAGGTGTTGGCGGTAGGCCGCTGTGGCCTTGATTGGGGTTCCTTGCTCTTCATTTCGTTTTGATAATATCAGGCCCAGTCGATGGAAGATGTAGTCGCTCCACAGCGAGAAATTCTCTGGGTTCACATTTTTTGTCGCCTCGTCTTGTTGATGACCTAGCAGAATCTGTGCCTCCGGTAGTTCAAGTACAGCCAGAAAATCGCCGTTCTGGACGGATTTGATAGTATCTTCCAAAACTGCGGCGAGTTCCTCAGGGAGGGAGCTCCGGAAGAAGTCCAAAAATAAGTCACTCATATTGGAATTGAAATTGGAATTGTTTGGAGTGGTGTTGCGGGGTCTCAATGCAAAAATGCGGAATTTGAGTAATGAGTAACCCCATGCAGAAATTTGGACTGCGCTAACTTGTTATGGTCACGCTAGGCTGGGCCCCTTCAGACATTCAACCTTTTGGGGCTATCAAGGACACTCAACTTCATGTGTGCCAAAATGTGCATTTGGTGGTTAAAATCATGGATTCATATCGAGTCTGCTGATAGCGCATAATGGAATAGATACGACCTGTAGAGTCAAATATTAAAAGTGGTCACACTAATTTCTGCTGGCCTGATGCATATTATCTGAGGTACAAAAATTCGCTTGGTATTTGCTGAGGAAACATTCATGATGATGATAATCTAGGCCAGGGCTCTAAGTACACAGAGGTATCATGCTGTATTCTGGCCAAGCAGACAACACGACCACGATACAAGGGGGGCAGGTTGCGGGCACTTAGTCTGAGTCGCTGCTGGAAGACGAGCTGCTGTGACCACCTCGGCTGCGACTTCTGGATTTCTTGTGCTTCTTGTGCCCACTGTCAGGATACAAGCCACCTAATCCAGCAGAAGAACCGGCATACGATGATCCGTGGTGGGACGAGCCATGATGCGAGGAACCGTGGTGAGATCCATGACTGCTATGCTTCTTGTGTTTCTTGTGCTCCTTATGCTTCTTCTCCTTTCTACAAGAATGAATCAGCACGTATTCTGGGGATTGCTGTAAGATCAAGAGGGGGCAAAGACTTACTTATCACTCAGCATGTTTGCGCCAATGGCGCCTGCAACCAAACCACCAATCGTACCCAGGGCTCCACCACCCAGCTTGTTGCCGAGAAATGCGCCTCCAGCACCGCCGACGAGCGTAGAACCTAGCCCGCGGTCGCCCTCTGCGGGACCGCCAGGCGCGCCAGGCTGACCGTGCTGCTGGGCGCCATAGCCTTGCTGATCACCGTATCCATGCTGCTGTTGAGAAGTGCCGTACTGCTGGCTTTGGCCGTTATAGCCTTGCTGATGCTGGGCGGGCGGCGGGTAAGGAGAAGTGTTTCGGTTTGGGTCGTGCTGGCCCTGTTGTGGGACACCATAGCCTTGCTGTGGCGCTTGGCCGTAGGGATGGTTGGAAGGCGGGGGATATTGGCTCTATGACTATGTCAGACGTCGACGCCCTGAGTGTGATATGCGCCAGCAAGGCGCATCCGTGTTTACCTGTCCTTGGGGGTAGGGACTGTGTCCCTGGTTGTACTGGCCGTGCGACTGCTGTCCATACGGCTGGCCCTCAGGAGGATAGCCCTGATTTGCGGCATACCCTTGTTGCTGCTGGTTCGCGCCATCGTAGCCGTAGCCATGATTCTGGCCATGACCCTGGCTTTCACCGTGGCCATAATAGTCGTGACTGGACATGACGTTCAATTGTTTGGAGTAAGAATGGAGGCTATGTATTGCCAAAATACGGAAGATAGGTAGGTATAAGGATGCGATTGAGGGACAGTTGTCGTAGGTATGTTTAGTTATGGCGGCGGGGGAGGGGCAAGCGGAGACGGCTGACCTGGGCGGTTTGCAGCATCACACGCACGCTTTAAAGGTAACACGCCCTCGCATGGCGCTGACTGTGGACGCCACATGTTCCAGAGATAGGTCATGCCCAGTGTCGCTGCCTGGGCGCAACGGCAGTGGAAGCTGGGGTCAGCTCCAACAGGCGGCAGCAAGTGCGGATGACCGAGGCGCAGCACACCAGCCACTCGTCTACGGCGCCGCATGAAGCAAAAAAAAAAGAACAACAGACCCATTCTAGTGCTAAGCTATAAAAGAGCTGATCAAAGCGTTGTTTAGTTCAACATACAATAACCGTAAGTGGTTCCTCTAGAAAGAGGTACCTATCCATTTGTGGTACCAGCCTATCGCCGCCCTTCAAGATGCATGCCGCAATGCCCGAACTATACCATACACTTCAGTGCCTTCCAACACACAGATTAACATTCTACATCTGGGCCGGGACAAGAAACTCATCAGCCCATAACTATTTCGAGCATCGATCCCAGAGATACCGTATTGGCCACGGAGCAGGCACACAACTCGCGAAGACATTACGGCAACACCCATGTTAGTGAAATAAATACCCACGGCAGCCATGCGTCCCTCATCGAAAGCCAAAAACATGCTGTACGTAGCCGAGAGCACATCGATTCCCCTCCCAAGACTATTCACAGCATACACGTACGAGCCTCTAGACCGAGATATTTGCCGACTTCGCGAGTGTCTAGGTACGATACATGGCTGTTCATGGCGCCCATCCAAGACGAAGACTTAAGCAAATCATGGGCAAGATATACCTCTGCCGGGAAATAAGTCATCTCGAGCGACCTGAAGAGACACATGATAGAGCTTCGCTCTCTTCCAGCCGCGAATAACATCGGACCTGTGCATAGGGATCTAATTTGTGATGTTATATTGGAATGGCTTACGACTTGTAGAGGCTAGACTTTGTCGCATTTACTCGGCATTCTGACCTTATTGTACACAGTGGGTACGCACAAAGTTGCCAAGTATATCATCGCGGTAAATCTCAAAGCTGCTAATCAACTTACGAACAAAGGCCAACTTGCTCAGCGTACCAGTAACTGCACTTGGAAATCCTCGGACATTTTATCAAGTAAAAAGATGACGTGTAAAACCAAGTGATTTGTTGGAGTGTGAATACAAGCAAGTCGGTGCGCAAGGGCTTTATTCAACGTTCAATATTTCTACACATTGGCAAAATGTGGATATTGAAGGGTCTGATAGTGTATGAACCTGTGTGCGCAATATGGGGTATATGGGAGGATACAGGTTGAAAGCCAGAAGTTGTGGAGAAGAGGTGATTTCTCTCATGTCCACCCACCACTTTGTAACTTGCTCATCCAAATCAGTATACTCCCAGTCCCACGAATTCAATCCCCTAAAGCAACAACAAACATCACCTTCCCCACAGAAAACAAAACAAAAACTAACAAGTCATAAAATCATTACGCTATGAAGATTAGTCCACATGCCAAAAAAAGATTAAGTCCCCTATATCATCTTCGCCGGCTGCGTCGGCGCCAAAGTCCACTCCCCAGGCTCCTCGTCAAACCGGCTCGGCTTCGCACTGGGCGCTGCATAATACCTGCGCTCGCTGAAAGCACTGGGCCCCTCCTCATACGGCCTCGATTCCTCCCTCTGCAGCTCCTCGACATACGGGCGCTCAAACGCGCTCTTCACATTGGGCACAAGCTCAACGGCCTCTGCCTTTTTGAGGCGACGAAGCTCCTGCTCCTCGACGAGTATCTTCTTGATCTTGCGCATCTTCATGTAGATCCAGATGCCCATGAGGACGGTGATGACGAAGACGAGGACAAACATGACCGTCTTGACAACACTGTCGTCGCTCTCCTGCACGAGCAGGACGCCGAGGTAGACGAGGAAGATTTGCTTGGGCAGCGAGGCAATCGTGGCCACGGCAAAGTGCCAAAACTTGACGTCGCAGGTGGAGAAGACGGCAGTGGAGAAATGGGCTGGGATGGCGCTGAGGCGGATGATGAGGACGATGACGAAACCCCCGTCACGCGTCAGACGCGCCATGGCTCCGTAGTTGAGATTGCTGCGCTCCATTTTGTACGCCTTGGTGCGGAATAGGTATTTGAACGCGAACCATGTTCCAACTGAGATATGGATCAGCATTGTCCGAATGTCCATGTTCATCATCGTATGAGAAGTGGAGAGGGTGGGTGGGTAAGGGAGGCAAGGGGGTTTTGGAAAGACATACTCTCGCCGAGAAAAGTGCCGGCAGCGACAATGGCAAAACCGATCCACAGCCCATAGACGATACCGCATAGCAATGCGACGACCTCGTGGCCAAAGAGGGGAGGGAAAGAAATAATGATGAGAATGACGACGGGGATGATCCAGCCTGCTGGCAAGTCGCGGACTTTCTCCGAAAAGGGCCGTAATTTCTGAGGGTGTCTCCAGTCAGCCAAGGAAAAGTCAGGGGAATGAGGAATGAGCATGGGAACAACAGCGGTGAGAAAAGAGGAAAACTTACCTCGACGACATCATCGTGCCATATTGTGATCAATATTGTTGCGATAGCAATCAAGATGAAGAGGATATGCCATGCTGCAAAACACGAGTCAGTCGTGGTGTTCGAGAGGGAGAAGAGGAAGAAGAGGGAAGTCTGGGCTGGAATCGTCATACGTATGTACTTTGGTGACAGAAACACCTTTTTCCAGTCGACGGGTCGGTAATCTGTATCCTCAATCACTGCATGCTTTTTCTTCTGCTTTCGCTCCACCATGCCCGACATTTCAATATCGTTGTTGCGTTTGCGAAACCACATTGTCGTGACGTTATGCGTGGAGAGAGGGGGGGGGGGGGATCTCCCTTCAACCCCTGCACCAGTCTCCTGGACTTCCTTCAGGGCCGTCTACGAAGTCCCGTTCGTGGTTGATGCGCGTCCAGTAGAGTTCCTTTTGAATAAGGGGGTCGATGAAAGTGAGGGTGGATGTGGAAGTAAGGTCTTCAAAACGACGGGCGGGGGGCGCGGGCAGAGTCGAGCGAAGGTGTTTATTTGGATGATGGGTTTCTTTGGAATTAAGAGTGGCCGTGGCGCTGAGATGAGGGAAGAGAGCATTGATGAAATGGACCCTTGAATCCATTTCTGAAACCGGCATAGCCACACGCCCGAGCGAGGAGCCAGCCAGCCAATCATGACGCGTCCGTATATTGGGAGCTGAGACGATGGCGCGGGAGTAGGTAGCGCGCGCGGCCAAGCCAAGGGGGGCCGGTTCTGTCAAAACCTTGCGAGTCTTGGACACAAGTTGAAAGGGCTTGCTTGCCCAGGCGTGCAAGGAGATCATAGCGGACGCATGAATCTGTCGTCGGAGTCAGGGCCGCAGTCTGTGCCGGTATTGTGCCGGTATTTTGTATGTGTATGGGATACCTACCAGCACATCTCAAAGAGCGAGGTTTCGTGGCCCACCCCAGAACTCAACTTCAACAATGCAAAAGGCCCATCAATGCCTTACTTGGCTATCCTTGGACGTGGTTTCAACGGTCCACAGGTCGATCTTCAAACGTTGTGATCATCACCGGTCCTGTCCATCCAAGTCCAAGTCCCAACCCGCACGGGCACCACCCCCTGTAAGCCGAACATCGCCAATGTACCATAGTGGGCAACACCGAACTCAACCATGAACATCCACCCTTTTGCACAGCCCTCTGGCACACGAACAGAAGCCGACGAAAGACTCCGATGTTCTCCCAACTGACACGAGGTTTGGCAAATTGGCGACGCGCGCGCAGCCCGATAAGTTGATATACGGGGCTATCTCGTGTACGTAAGCTCGTTTAGCCTCAAAGCTTCGCCTCGAGCTTGTCCTTAATCGGACTCTGCCTATTTTCGGAACTTGGAATCCTTGCAAACCCCCCCCTCGGCGTTGGCATCTGGGCCTTTCAACGTCCATGGAGAAAGGTGTACAAGGCATTCTTCCTTGTAAGGCTGAGAACCGCTTGTCAACTGAGACCTGGGCACGGCCGACCTCAACCTGGACGATCATCTCGATTCTACTATACAAATACAGATCGATAAGCGTACAGCGAGCCCACTCGGCGAAAAGAATCCTCCTTTTGGTACACCTCCAAATGCATCTCCTTGCCCTACATGCGGTATCATACAGTCCCAGATTCCTTGATTTCCATATTAAATGACTCTTTCCTTTTTCTCCAATATCCTCATCCCTTCGTTTCCAGCACTACATGCTGCTCTCGGCACCACCTGTCTCGCTCTCGCTCGTTCGTGTGTGATTCCAACCATTGGCCTGCATCTCACCATTCTTCCTTCTCCCCATATCATTGCCTGCTTTTCAATTCTTCTTTGTGCTGTCCTCAGCGCCATTCGCGCCCGAAGCATCCTTCATGGCATTGGGCTGGTAGTTTTCGGGTACAAGGCCAAGCTCACGACGGTTGGCTTCGACCTTCTCTGCGGAGTGGGGACCTGGGCGAACCTGTTCGCCAGATAGTCTGTGGGGCTGTGTTGCAGAGGGTGCTGTTTGTGCGTCTGAGGAGACATCGGAGGCAGATGGCGAGCCACTGTTGCTTGAGGAGCCAGGCGCAGATTCAGAGCTTGCGAGGTCAGCGGCCATATCATCCTCGTCGCCCTCCTCGGGGTCGATTTCCGAGCCGTAGATTTCGGGGTATTGGCGGAAGCAATCTTGCATTCCCCTGCTTCAGTGTCAGCTATCCATTCTTGCGCGACTCTCACGCATGCCAGTCTCATGGTCGGTGAAGAGTGACGTACTTGAACTTGTCGATACAGTCCATCCCCTTGGGCTCTTCCTGAGAGTACACAAAACAGCTAAATGCCGCCTTGAACTCCTCGCCACATGGCCCAGTCGCCATACCGCCGAGGCAGGGGCAATCCCAGTTGATCTCTCCCGTCTCCGGGTTGAACGCTCCCTGCTGATCTGCCTCCTCTTCTAGGCCCTCAATGCCACCCTCACCACCTGATGCCTGCGCATTCTGTTGTGCACGTGCTGCTTCCTTCTGCTGTTGTGCCTCCAATTGCGCTTGTACAGCCTGGCGCCTCTTGCGCTCTTCTGAGATGGATTCGATAGTGGGGAGATGTTGGGTCTCGACCTCGGTTCCTGGCACCGGTTGCAGAGCATCTGAGTCCAGTGTATCAGTCTTCTAATCCCAACATTTCGTATACCAAGATCTTTGTAACTTACGCCTTGGCTCCTCCGCAAAGATATCCACTGTGTTGTAGTAGTATAGTATGCCACCCGCGATGCCGAATCGTGCCATCAGACTCTTCCAACTTCTCGACTTTTGTGTGGGCGGAGCTGTGCTGAGGAATCGTCTTGCGGGCGCAACGAAACGCAGTGGCGCAGCGCGTGCCGCTGGGTGCGCAAGCAATCGGGGTGCTGTTCGAAACATTGTGACGTTGAAATAAACAATTACAGAAGAAATATCAAAATTGAGAATGGGAAGCAACTTGACGGTTTGATGATGACGCGCGGGCCAAAAAGTTCGGATCGCCCTCGGACCTGCATTGCTAAGCGGAAGATGGGTTCCAAGAATTAGCGCAATCAAGCCGTCACGTGTCGCATAATTCCCATCATGGCATCACCCGTCCTTGAACGGTCTGTCAAAATGTCACTTCCTGTGGCCACAGGGTTCTTCTTAGCCTCTTCTACAGCACATCGTATTTGAGATTTCGTAGCTCAAGCGTGGTTAAATGGGTATATTGGGAACATGAGGGTCATGTGTACAGAACTAAACATGCAAGAGCAGCTCATTCTGAGACCTGAATGGATGGAGAATCCCGTACTTGCTATAGTAGTACTGCGAAAAAGTCATCAACGATCTATCACATCATTACGGATACGCCCGGATATAGCCCTGCCCAGCATGCGACCTCTGCAAGAAGCAGCTAGGGCAGGCCTACACAGGTTTACAAATCGATCCAATGTGTCTATTTCGGTGGGTTGCGCTTGAAGAAGTATCTAGCATTAATTGTTAGGCCGTTTCTTTGGTTCTCCGTACATGCGGTCTACTCACTGGCTGACGAAATAGTCTCCAACACCGAACAGTCCGATAACACCAGCCCAAGCAGCAACGAGCTTGCCTGTCAACTGGCCCTGGCTGTACTTTCGGTACGCGCCAACTCCTAGAACAGCAGAAACAACAGCAAGACCAATAGCATTGCTTAACACAACCGGGTTGTCTGCGTTCTTCTTGATCTTGTCCTTTGCAGCCTCCTTCTTCTTCTCAGCCGTCTCCTTCAATTTCTCGGCCTCCTGCTTCACTTCCTCCTCACGCTTCATGCGCTCAGCCTGCGTGTCGGTCTTGATAGATTGTGACTCGTAGTCCGAGGGAACAGAGGAGATATGTGGGCTGTCAACATCTACGAGCGAGGAAACGCTGTCATCGGTGTGCTGGATCTCAGGTGGGGCGGGAGCACGACTAAAGTGTGCTGTTAGCTTTCCCTATGCATGATGGTACGATACCGCTGCTCGATGGTTGTGTCTGCATGGAATCAAGCGCTTGGTCACGCAAAAGCATGTTTTTCACGCCCCACACATCGGTACATGGGATTTCAAAATATGGAGGAAAAAGTACTCACGCCTAATCATACGTTAGCCTCGATTCACGAACTGCAGACTCACTTTCACCTACCTCTTCAGGGCTCTGCTTTGGTCCCTTAGCAGCAACGTCTGCGTACGACATGATGACGATGTAGCTTTGTGATAGCGATAATGGCAGGGGAGATGTTGGATTGAAGGGCAGCAAGGATGGCCAAGGAGGAGTATTGCGCAGGCTGCAGATCAGTTGATGAACACTGGGAAGACCTGAGATAAAGACGATCGAGTGACACCGGGGCATCACGAAACCAGCTCCCTCACATGCTTTGCTCGGTTATCCAGGTGGCTGACGTCATTTTGCCAGTCTAGCGTGTGTGTAAACCGCCAAGACTAGGAACAGAACATCTTGCATGCGTCACGGCGGTGAGGGTCCTATCGTGTAAGGCATTCATTGACCGATGCTTCTTCGTGACTAATACGCTACGAGGAGGCCACGGAGACTGATCCAATGCAAAGGGTATTGACACAAGTCTGCACGCTGCAAATTCGCTCATGCATCGCAAGAGCACCACCACTTGAGCTACATTCCATGCTGTAGACAAGTTTGATGAGTACCAGAAGGAAACAAGGTAGCAAATTACAAGGGAATTCCTCGCAGTCCACTCAGGCCATAAACGCCTGCTAATGGTGGAATTTTCGTTACAAGAAAGCCAAGGTGATTGAGAAACCAATCACGACTGCACCATCGGGGTCCCCGTTGCACGGACAACGATTTGTTGACCCCGTTAGCACAGATTGAAATTGGTGGAAAAGAAATCGTCCATAAGTATACGCTCCTGGGCAACTCGCTGAAGGTTTTGACAGAAAGTCAGCGTATAGCGCTGTACCGGCTTCTCCTCATCTTGTAATTTGGAGACGAGGAACGCACCAAGAGCTTGTCTTGCTCAGTCTATTCTTCTCCAAAGATAGTCTTGTAATTTTCAAGCAAAGCTTGGACAGCGATACGCTGCGCTTGGACATCGGTAAGTTCTCGCTGGAGCTCCATTGGACGCATAATGGTTGGTGCGAAAACCACAGCCAGGTTGAGTGGAGTCATCTGTCCATATGTTAGCCTGTCGACTTAACCACTGCTCGAATGATGCAACACGTACCAGATTGACGTTGGCATGTTGGATGACTCTCGAGAGATGGAAGACCAAGAATTGGAGGGTGTCACGATGAGCCTTTGGGATTTCATTCACTGCAGCAAGCATAGCTTTGCATAGTGCCGCGTTATCTTCGATCTCTATGGGTTGATTAGCGTATGTATATTAGCGTATGTAGTGCAGCACAGGATAGAATTAGACTTACGACCCGCCTCCAAGAACTGGTCATAGACGTCATAGGTGATCAATGGGACAGGAAGCCTGCGGAAGTAGTTCTTCAAAGCGGAAGTGACCGAATGAATATCCAGATCAGGGTCTGAGATGTCGTATTCACTATCCGCTTCAAACCCGCTGCGGACTTGGTTGACCTGGCCAGTACCTCCACTCTTGCGATAGACTCCCTCCACGTCCATGCCTCTTAATTCGACCTCTTCAATGCATCGACTGACAACGCGAGGGATCATCTGTTTTTCAAACTCGCATCGCGCAGTCAGGTCTGAGCCAAATAGGACGGTGCTGGCATCCGCGGGCGCAATCAGATTCGTGCTGCTATTATCGTGCTGCATTGGCTTGAAACGATCCTGTTGTCCGGGAGGTCTGGTGGCGCCTGGTTTTCCACCAAACCAGCCTCGTTGTGTTCCTGCGTCCTGCTGCTGGCTGCTCTTTGTGGATGCAGACATTGATGACATTGTAGACATGGCTGCAAGATCAGGCGCCGTATGAGTGGTACCATAAGGCGTTCCAATAACCTTGATGCTGTAGTCTTCCTGTCGTGCATTCGATTCCGATCCGAAAGCACCCTTGAAGCCCTTGGTTACGTTCGTCTTGATAGCCTGGCCACCCTTCTTCCAGTTGGAGAATTTATTGACCTTGCCCTTACGAATATTGATGACCTGCGGCTGCGCAACAGTCGTCTCACCATCCTCGTGTAGGTTCGCAAACGAGTGCTCGTGCGAGATTCCTTGCGTATCGATAGAAATCTCGGATTTGCCACCCTTGTGTTGTGCATTGTAGATTCCGAGGCCGTTGGCTGTTACGTCAACATTCTGACCACCCTTCTTGTTGTTCTTCAGTGTTGTTTGAATGTTATCAACGAGCTCTCGATTCATAGCTGACAGCCTGGTGTTAGCAGCAGTCAAAGATTCGTACTCTTGGAAACCCTTGTCCTTCATCTGGATCAGATTGGAGATTTCATCAGTCAGCTCCGATCTCTTCGATATGAGATCCTCAATTTGGCCTCGCAGTTGGTCTTTGAGCTTTTGAATCGAGTTAGCGAAGTCTTTGGTGACATCGGATTTCAGCTGATTGATATCCATGGACCCCTCACTGTCCTTTGCCTGCTTGAGACGTTCAGTCATGACCTCAAGCTCGCGGATCACCATTTCGCGTTGGCAGTCCAAGATGGCCATGGTGCTGCGCTTTTCTCTCAAGACCGTGTTCGCTTGGTTGATGTCCGCTGCGCTGTGCATCGACTCTTGTAGTCCGTTCTTCTCGGCTTCGAGTTCTGCAATGCGTTGCTGGGCGCGGCGCAGTTCGTTTCGCAGATTGGCACCCTCCTCTTTGGAATCTGGCGAGGCAACGGTGGGGCTACTGATATCGATGGAGCCGTTGGTCGGCCACTTTTTGTGGCCTTGGCCACGCGAGGTGACGGAGCCACGGTCACTGAAGCTGCGTCCGTGCTTGGATACGGCGTTCGACACGCGTCTGAAAACTCCACGTTCACCTTCGTCTCGATTTTCGTTATTGCCGAGTAGCCTAGCAAAGTCCTCATCCATGGAGAAATCGCCTTGGGCACTGTACCGAGGAAGGCCACCCCCTCCTGTCTGGGGATAAGCATCGCGGGAGGCCTCGGTCAGAGAACTGCTAGTGGACTCTGTCGGCCTATGCGACTGGTTGTGAGGAGGCTGAGGAGGCGCCCTTGGCGATGTGAAATTGTCGGCCGTAGGAGGAGCAGGGCGTCCTGCCGAACGCGCTGGTGGCACAGGAGCATCTGTGAACGATTTTGTAGGAGGCGAGTCAGCCGGACTGATGATACCAAGACCTGAATTGAGTTGTGCCGTCGCAGCCTTGGTGGATGAGCTTCTCTCAGGATGTCCAACGGTGGGCGTGGTAGGAGATGGGTTCGACTTTTCTTTGCGACTGAGAGAGCCAGAAGTCTTTGGCACTGAAGGCGCAAGGGAATCTCCACGAGCAGGGCGCTCGATTCGCTGATGGGAGCTGTATGAGGACGTGGAAGTATTCGGAGAGTCCTGCATGCCAGAGGGTGGAGAAGAGGTGAAATTCACAGGATCTATCATCGGACGGCTCAGGCGCGCAGACATGTCTGCACTTGGAGGACTATATGGCGGCTGCAATTGCGGTGGGGTCCTTGAAGGTGAGTCCTTGCGCTTCGCCTCTGCTTTCTTGCTCTTTGGAACCTCCTGTAGCTTGAAGGGCTCTGTAGAAGTAGATGTAGGAGCAGGAGACGAAGAAACATTCTGACTCTGAACTCGTTGGGCCACAGGGGACTCGGAAGGGACATCCTTGCGCTTCTTCAGTGTGTCTACCAGCGACTCTGATGGCTGTCTGCCCTTCTCTTGGAAAGCAATATGTGGGCTTGTCGGAGGCCTCCGCTCCTTGGATACTGCGCGCGAACCATTCTCCTTCATTGCTTCACGATGATCGGCTGTCGGTCTATTGTTGAAGTAGTCGCGTGAAGTCTTGGATTCATTGGCGGAGCTCTGGGTAGTGCCCATGGGCCGCTCGCTGTAGCGACTGGCCGGCCTGCCTAGAGGTGACGGACCAGGCGCCGTGTTGGGGTCGAGAGCAAAGGGAAGCAAGATGCTGTCGTCGGCTGCGTCAGAAAGGTCTTGATGGCTGCTCTCTTTGCTATACGTAGTGGCGGGAAGAGTGGTGTTGTCTAGATACGCTTGTAGTCAGCAAAAGTGCCCATTTCTGTGGACAGACAGAGCCTACCCCTCCGCGAGAGGTCCCCTATAGGCGACGCATCACGCCTAAAGTTGGAGCTGGAGTCGCCCCGCCTCGTATATCCCGGTCTCGGCGAGACGTCAGTAGTAGTCGACTCTGAAAAGATTTCGGACGGTGTGTCGAGGTCGGGGGTGAAGGTAGTCTGGGGTTCCTGAGGGGGCAAGGCAGGCAGTGACTTGTCTACCTTGGGTGCCACTGCTGCCGGTGGTTTCTTGGATTTCTTCCGCCGCCGTGCCATGAGCGACTCATGGCACGACATGCAAAAGATGCCCTGTGAGGTGCGCGCATAGCGGAGATTCTCGATTTTGCGCTTGCAGTTCCTGCACCTGAAGCAGTTTGCGCAAAAGGCCTGGTCGCCCGTTAGGATGGCCAGGTCTTCGATCTTGTTGCCGCAGTGATTGCAGCTGTAGGTGCAATTGTTGCATATAAGCGAGCCGTCACCGAGGAGCAGCAGGTTGGCGTCCGAGTCGAGGAGGGTGCCGCAAGTATTGCAGCGGAAGCAGTCAATGTGCCATCGGTTGCCAGCTATGCATTCATGTTAGCCTGCTCCACCTGAAGACTGGAGGGGAGAGGGGATGGTGGCGTCAGGGCGACAGGCGCGAGGGACGTTGTTTCTCAAGTGGGGAGAGTGCAGGTATATGGATGGCTGGCACATACCAAGTTCGAAGGCCTTTCCTTCCTCGAGGATCTGGATTGGGCACAAGTCAGCCATTGCTATATAGGCGAAAGGCAGGCAGGTCTATCTACCTCTCCACACCCCTTGCACGGATACACGACATCGTCCTGGTCGGTTGGCGACTCTGGGTACGCTCCTGGCGACTCCATGTTGCCTTGGGGCGGTGTATGGGTGACGGCGACGCAGCAACAGTGACTCGGGACGGAAGGCTGTCAGAGCAGTCGCCACGTCCTGGGGGGAGGGAGGGATGAGGGGGAGGGTGAAGGACGTGAACGACTCGATTTCTCCGGCGTGGTAGTGGTTGTTAGGTAGTGGTCGAAAGTCCGATGTGTTGTGCGACCTGGGGTCTTGCGCCTCTACGACTATGGCGCACAGATGCTAGTGCAAGTAGGAGCAGCAACAGTAGAGTAGCAACAGTAATAGTAGTAGTACCAGCAGCAGCAGCAACAGCAACAGCAACAGCAACAGCAACAGCAACGGCGGCGGCGGCGGCGGCGGTAGCGGTAGCGGACTCGACAGATTAGACAGGGAAGACTTGCAGCAGACAATGACAGCGAACAAGACAGCGGCAAAAGAGAAAGAAAGTCCCAGGGCTGCCCGCTGTTTGCACTCACTGCTGCACTGCACTGCACTGCACGACACGCCCCCCGTCTATCAAGGGCTCAGGGCTCAGGACTGGGTGGACTTCTGTGGAGGAGGGCACACACACTCTTGGCCGACATCCAATGGCTGCCGCTGGGTGGCCCCCAAAGCAGAGAGATCCAGGGTCTGGTCTGGCAAAAGGGTGTGTCCAGAGCCCCGTCAGCACAGATGCGCGGACACACACACACCACCCCCCATCACCCATCACCCATCCCTGCTCCACTTTATTGTACATAAGCTACCGACCACACTACATGTCATACTACAATCGTCCTTGGAGTACACTTTGAAGGGGACTTCGTCACTCGGGAGGGCGAAAAGGTGGCGGGCGCGGATCCCTAAAGGAGGGGGAGAGAGATCGACCGTGCCTAGCGAGGAGGCGTTCACACACTCATCCATAGTTCTCTGCACCTCGTCACCTGCCTCGTCCTCGTCCTCGTCCTCGTCCTCGTCCTCCTCCCCTCCTGTTCAGGCCGACAAGAAACGTAAACAGTGCAGTGCAGTGCAGTGCAGTGCAGTGGGAAGAAGATTCACACAGCAGCTGATGGCCTGCTTCACCGCGTCGCACAACAATGCTGAAACTCCAACATGGCCCTGTCCGCCCTGTCCGCCCTGTCCAGCTCGATATTCGTCAGCTGCAGAGGCCCTGCGCTGGCGTTTCATCAGGTCGACTCCACCGCGCCTGGCCGCTTCCGACCATGCATCATTACCGTACCCAGGCCAAGGAAACCCCCTCCGCACATCGCAGATCGCGGGATCCAGGTCACCGTCCGACTCTCCATACATCTACCCAGTATGCACTGACCTTACCGCCTCATCACCCTCCTCTTTACGCAGACTCGAAGATGATTCACTTGCACCCCGTCGGCTCTGATCCTCTACACGGAAGATAGGACAGGAGCAAGGAGGTAAGACGAGCCGAGCGCTTACTACCTATGGCACAACGCTAGGCTCAGCACGCACTCCCTATCAACCCTAACATTTTCTTTGGAATCGTAGCGGCCGAATGACCATGGCTCAAATGGGTGGGCTCCCTCAAAAATAGACGAGAGGGATCGCGAATCATGGCCAGTGCTCATCTCGCGTCCACCAGCAAACGCTATTCGAGTCAAGCTTACCGGATTGTGAATGCGGCATGCAGGTACGCGACCTAAGATGATGGCCACCTGACGAAGAAGTCCTGTACCAGTTCTGCAAATGCGAACGGTGGACGCTTGTCCTACCTGAACCTGTAGGGCTGTTGACGACCAATCCGTTGTACGTACATAGCCTATACTTGGCGTTTGGTCAACTCGTAGGTACCGGTACTGCTCGTAAGCTGCAGGAAATGAGAGGGTGTGGGCAACATCCCGAGCGAACGGCTATCCAGCTAGCTGTGCTCTCTCGAAACGCCCCCAACAGAGAATAGTGGCTGGGTCACACATGTCTCTGGGGCATCCTCGTAGCCTATCTGGTCCACTACAGCAAATCATGGCTCTAGCGTTGAAGCAGAACCTACTGTGTAGGTTACAGTTGCGCTTCCGCATCTCCCCTCCGCATTCCCAGCTACCCAGTTAGCTAGCATGTCTACAATAGCCTGTCTAGCATCAGGACATGCGATCAACTTTCCCAAGCGTACGGTTAGATTCCAATTGAGCCACCGTTTCTGAGACGGCTGTGAACATTATGGAATTACGGACTTGTTTCATCGTGCCGCAACGGTGCCTGAAGGATCCATATCTCCGGGATCTCTCCGCCGTTGAACCCTATCGTGGTCCGATACATGGCAAGGCCCAACATCCGCAATCCTGGCACAGGTTTTGAGTACATCATGGCAAATAGATGCGCCGTTTACACCTGTTTTCAAAAGATGTGTATACTGTATGGCACGTTTTCTTTTTGTCGTCAGTCGCTTCCAAGGGCATATGGCAACATCTACTAGCGCCGTCAAGACGCCGTTCATCAATTTAAATTTGGATCATCTTGTCGTCGTGGGCATGGCTTTTAGTACGTGGAGCATCCTTGACTCGTAGGAAACCGCCATAAACATACGTCTTCTTTGAAACAAAGACGGGTCGCCAGATTCTTGTTTCAGAATCACGTCAATGTTTCAGTCGTCCGCTTCGGCTTGCCCTGACATCCGACCCATACTGACTGGCGTGCATACATCAGGGAATGAGCCCGATTGGATCGAGATTGAGTTGATAACAGACAGAGGCAGACCCAGTTGGCGTTTATAGTCGTCCGATTAAGGTCAAACATACCACAGTACCATGTGATTCATCCCAGCACCTCCTGTAAGGATGTTTTCGGTGGTGATGCTAGCATTCTAGAATAGTCCATGGTGAATTTGCAGGAAAGGCAGAATGTAGCCATGTCTCCTCGCCCTGTACTAAGGGGGGGCAGTTTACGACCCATTACAATAATACTCCCGCCTTGCACGATCTAATTGATCAACAAATTACCCGACTTCCATTCGCCATTTCAATTATCAAGTGTGTGACAACACTGACAAGGGGGTTAGTTACATGTCCTGTTTTCAAAACAAGCTCGACGAAGACGAATAGAATTCCATAGTAGACACCATCCCGATCTTGGCACCAGGTACTTGGATGCTCATGGCTTGAGCCACCGTCTGGTTTTAGGTAAGCAACAAGATCTGTTGGCTGGGCAGTTTGAAGTCCCTAGTGTCCAGACGAACAAGCGGGCATGAGATTGACAGGGCTGAAAATGACACCTTCGCTCTTTGATCGTGAAGAACCAATGGACAGTCATCGGAGTAACAAAGGCCGCGCACAGCATTTGCACTAATTCCCATCAGCGAACCACAGGCCCGAAAACAATGCATGCTCAACACCTCCGCGGCCCCAAGTGTGCATGCATATCGTCGTTGTTGAATACCCCGCCACCCCACTTGGACGGTCATGACGATAGGATAGTGATGGCATCGCGGGGTATTCGTTGAGGTATTTAACCATTGCTTATCCTTCAACCGACGTTCTTTCTCCTTCCCAATCTCCTCTCTCCTCTCCTCTCTCCAGTCGCAACTGATCAGAATTTGCTATCAAGCTACCTTCCGTACTCAGCTATTCCCTCCGCTGACATGGCAAGGAAAACGGCTGACAATTCCCATAGGTGCCCCTCGAATACAAAGTATGGCAGCCACGATGCAAGCCATATCCTGCTCGCAGGCATTATCCTCACGCCATCAAGGTACTTTACAACATAAGTATATTGCATGAACCGGTGTTCGCTTCCAGTACCCCGCCATTGGCCACTGTCCTATGTTCGAGTGGGATGGCGGAAAGTGACGGGATACTGGTTGTCGTTCTGAGATTATACGGTCATAACTTGATTCTGGATAATACCAGCGAAAGGACATGCTTCATATCAAACCCCCTTCTGACATCGAGTCAGCCTTAACAGATTCCAGGTTTCGGAAAAGTGTGAACGACCACCGGCGAGAACATGTCTCCTCCAGCCGCTACTTACAACATCCTCGTTGCTGCATCCAATGGCAACGGTCATGATGATGGCCTGGCCGTCAAGAAGGATCTTGCTGTCAGGGCTGCGGTCAATGGACAAGCCAAGACACTCGCCGAGATGGAAAACAATTGGGAGGCGTTTACCTTTGCACCTATCCGCGAGTCCCAGGTGTCGCGTGCCATGACGAAGCGTTACTTCAATGACCTCGACACGTACGCTGAGTCTGACATCGTCATCGTTGGGGCGGGTTCATGTGGTCTTTCGGCTGCATTCACCCTCGCCTCCAAGCGCCCTGACCTCAAGATCGCCATCATTGAGGCAGGTGTCGCTCCTGGCGGCGGTGCTTGGCTCGGTGGCCAGCTCTTCAGCGCAATGGTGATGAGGAAGCCTGCTCAGCTGTTCCTGAACGAGCTCGGGGTGCCATATGAAGACGAAGGCGACTTTGTTGTCGTGAAGCACGCTGCGCTGTTCACCTCGACCTTGCTATCAAAGGTCCTGCAGTTCCCCAACGTCAAGCTGTTCAACGCTACTGCTGTGGAAGATCTCATCACTCGCCCAGCTCCTACGGCGACTGACCCCAACGCTGTACGCATCGCTGGTGTAGTCACCAACTGGACCCTTGTCTCCATGCATCACGACGGTTCTGTCACTGCGCCCCGCCTTTGACATGACATACCTACTGACAGCTTACCAGACCAGTCTTGTATGGACCCCAACACTATCAACGCACCCCTCATCATCTCGACGACGGGCCACGATGGCCCCTTCGGAGCCTTCTCCGTTAAGCGCCTGGTGAGCATGCAGCAAATTGAGAAGCTGGGCGGCATGCGCGGTCTTGACATGCGTACTGCAGAGGACGCGATTGTGAAGCGCACGCGTGAGATTGTGCCTGGCTTGATTGTAGGAGGTATGGAGTTGAGCGAGGTCGATGGGGCCAACCGCATGGGCCCGACGTTTGGGGCCATGGTGTTGAGTGGCGTCAAGGCTGCTGAGGAGGCAGTTGGTGTTTGGGACGAGAGAAACGCACAGAATGGGGAGTAAGGGAGCAAGCGACGTGATGCATCGCCAGACTTTTGTCCTTGCAGCAGATACTTGGGGGATTTGTAGGGTTTTCGTGTTGCAATGACAACACAGTCATTCGTTTGTTTATTTTGGATCGGTCTTGTTTTGTAGGATGAGTGTATTGTCACGTTGACTGAGTAGTGTACTCCGTTGACATGCATGTCCACCAAAATAAGTCGATGAGGTTTGGCTGGGTGAGCTGGTCCTGCTGGATGATATCATGGTGCAGCAATGCTGCCATGTCTAGAGTAGCGTGGGTCGTGTGTTTGGTACCAGTTCTCTCCATGTACTTGTACCCTACCAAGGGAAGATGCCTTGTCAATGATCCATCTTTGCATCCGTGACGCCCTCCATCGGGGGATCCACTTCTGCCTTAAAAAACCACAATCAACTAGGCGGGCAATCAATCCACGTACTATGCAGGTACTTTGTACTTGTATCTGTCATCGAACAACCGCCCCCCCCCCCCCCCGGGGCCGGGGGGGAACCAAACCCAAACGGAAATACAAAAGGGGGGGGGGGGGGTTTCACCAACTTCCCCGGTTGCCTGAAAACAATTGGCCGGTTTTCTGGACCCCCCCAAAAACCCCCGGGTAAATTTAGGGCCGTTTTCCAAAACCCCAGGGGCCGCCCGTCCAAACCCCCTGAATTTACCCCCCCCCCCCCCCCTGTGCCTGGTGTGTAGCAAACGCGAAGCGGACATACAAATGCGGGGAGGGCGGTTTCAGCAAGCTGCACGGTTGCCATGAGACGATTGGCCGGTTATCGTGACCCACCCAAGACACCCCTGGTCAACTTAGGCGCTGTTTACAACAACACATGGGCCTGCCAGTCAAACCCTCATGATTATACCCCGCCACACCACCGATTGTAATTGATACTAACCATGGAGTCTGAAGCGGCCACCCTGCTGAGCGCGCTGAAGAAGCCGTCGACCAACGTCGGTAAGGACCAGTCTGGCCGAAACAATCGCGCCTCCAGAACAAACCAAACTGACATGCGCACCCCCATTCAGAACAGCGACTGGCTCTCTTCACCACCCTCAAGTCGAGCATTAAACACAACCGCGTGCCAGAGGAGTGCCAGGCGACCATCTTCGAATGTATCCGCCTCGCCATTACCGCTGCCACCTCTGCCGCTCTCGTACAAACGGGCTTCTCAACACTCAGCCACTTCATCAAGCGCCTCCAGCTGCAAAAGGAGACACAGGTCATCACAGCTCAGTCGTCGGTGCTATGCTCGATATTGGCGGACAAACTGGGCGATGCGCGTGAAAGTCACCGCACCGCAGCGCTGCAGATCCTGGCCGATCTACACAATCTGTGTCCGACCGAGGTGGACACGCTGATACATGAGGCTATGAAAGGCAGCAATGCGCGTGCCAAGGATACTTCGATGAGCTGGGTTGTCAAGGTCAGCACTGCCGTCACGGTCCGAGAGGGAAAGTGCAACCAAGGATTAACGCGTGATTCTAGATGAACAAGAGCGAGGGTCTCCCCTTCAAAAGCTACTCCAACCAGCTGGTCGCAAATCTCGAAGACGCGGATGCAGGCGTACGCGACACCGCCAAGAAGGCAGTTGTAGAACTATTCGGGTACGCACTTCTTGTTGTGAGCACAAGGTACTTGGGACTGATTTGCGAATAGACACGCGCCAGAACACGCAAAAGCGAATCTCAAAAAGCAACTCGTCGCCCTGAATGTCCGCAAAGCCATCGCGACTTACATCACCTCACACCTCGACGCCGAAGCGATAGCCAAGGACACAGAAATGCCAGCAGCAACAGCAGCAGCACCGGCGTCAGCGCCAGCATCACGACCCATATCCAAGCAGAGGGCAGAGGCTTTGCAGCCCGATGTCGGATTCGCAGATGAAGCGCCCCCACCAACCGAGACCGTCGTGATGGACCCCATTCACATATATACGCAGCGCGAGCTGGAAGATGTCTTTAGGGATATGTTACCTTGCTACGAAGGCAGAGAGTCGGAGACCAACTGGCTGGCGCGAGACAAGAATTGCACAAAACTAAGACGCATACTGAAAGGAAATGCACCTCACGATTTCCACGCAGCTTTCATCGCAGGTATCAAGTCACTGCTCGATGGCATCTTAAAAGTTGCCAACACATTGCGAACGACCATGTCCACGAATGGTTGTCTGCTGGTACAAGAACTTGCAAAGACACTTGGATCAGCGATTGACCCATGGGTGGAAATTCTGATGCAGTCCTTCGTCAAAATGTGTGCTGCTACCAAGAACATCGCTGCCCAGAACGGAAATGCCACAGTGGAGGTTATCCTTCAGCATGTTTCGTACAGCAGTCGACTGTTACATCACGTCGTCATGGCCTCACAAGACAAGAACGTTCAGCCGAGAACACATTCAGCGAGTTGGGCTAAGACCTTGATCCGCAAGCACAACTCGCACATTGAGCACTCTGGTGGACTAGACTCGTTGGATAAGCTCATCAGGCGCGGTGTCACTGATGCCAATCCAAAGGTGCGAGAGGCTTACCGAAGCACCTATTGGGTCTTCGCCTTGGTCTGGCCTCAACGGGGGGAGATGTAAGTCCACTGCAACCGCTCTTATTGACAACCGCTGACCCATTTGTAGCATCTTTGACACACTCGAGAAGCGCGAGAAGACAGCGCTTGAGAAAGACCCGAACAATCCCAATGCATCCATGGCTTCATCGCAAACCAGCACAGCCTCTTTCTCCAAGTCTGTGGGTCCTGGTGCGAGCAGGAACGCCTTGAAAGAGAAGATTGCTGAGCAGCGGAGGGCAAAATTGGCGGCCGCTAAGGGTGTCCCTGAGCGACCCAACTCTGCTGCTGCAAGCTACACGCCAGCAAAATCGCTGTCATCCAAGTCTTTGGGTGCCGGGTCAAGGACGACGTCCACACTATCGACTGCGCCCTCTGCATCGCTACGGCCGCCCTCGGCAATGGCTGGAGAGTCTACCAAGTCGGCCTTGAAGAGCTCTACCACTACAGGCTCCTTGATGAGTGGAACAGTACGTCGACCAATTCGCCGGCCTGAAATCAACAGACCTGCGACAGCCGATCCTTATGCAGTACGGCGCGCAGCAGGTGGCAAAGCTACTCCATCGATGACCCCAGAGAAGACGCCGGCTGCCACAACAACGGCGAAGAAAGCAGCAGTACCGAAGAACACCGCCCGACCAAGAGCACAGACACAGAACAGCCCGACTGGAAGTCCCGCCCGGAGTAAGTCCCGGATTGGACAACCTGTCGCGGGAAGCAAGGGCACTGGTGGAACCTCACGACATGCGAGCCCGGCCGCAAGCCCAGCAAGAGACGAGGAGCTGACCATGGTGAAGCCCTGGGTCCGATCACAGAGTCAGCATGATCCAGCAACCATTCCGTTCCGTCAACGCAATGGACTCAACACGAGCCAATTGGCGGATAGTGAAGCCATTGAAGACGACGATAATTTCACAATGGTGATCCCAAGCCTTGGACGCCCAATGTCGCAAGCAGTACAACGTACCCCTCCTAAGCCCGCTCCGTCAGCCGGACGGCTACCTGTGCCCAGCCCGCGAGCTTCTTTGCTTAGGAGTCCAAAGTCCATGGGACATATTGAAGGTTCTGGATTTCGGTCATCAACTCGTAGCCCACGTGTGAGATCACCTGATCGTCCAAGCACAAGGGGGACAGATGCAGACGAAGTACAAGTGTACGAAGATCCATTCGTTGGTGAGGAGCCAGCGGCTGCGGATCAAACAAGGGAGAAGCCCGTCCTCGAGGAACTGCCTATCAATGAGAAGAGTAATGAACGGAGACATAGCACTGAGAGCGCCTCGAGCGATATCATCATGGATAATGGAGGTGAAGAGCGCCCAAGAGGTCACCAGAAGACTGCCAGCACGGGAAGTGTCTTGTTCACCGAACGCGAAGAAACGCCGAATGCGGAAGTTCTTAAGAATCGCCAGCTCCTTGCGAGTGGTATCAAGAAAATCGAGGGCCGCACTGTGGAAGCCCACATGTTCCGCCGCATGCAAGACATGGTCAAATCCAACCAAGAAATCTGGGGCCCCAACGATGAAAACTTTGGCCGTCTCCTTCTCGCCTGCCTCGACTTCCTTGAATTCCCCATCCAAGATCTAAAAGGCCCCCCACTCAAGGCAATGAACCTCAAGGTACAAGCGCTGGCCACTATCCGCGCTCTACTTGCCCTATACCGCAAAGAAACCGCACAATACTTTGGCCGCGTCTTGTGCGCCATTTTACGAACCAAAGCCCAGTATGAGAACACTTCGCACATCGCCGTCGACCTCGAAGCCACGGCCGACGAAATCGTCAAATACGGCCAGACGACCGACTGCCTCAACGCCGTCCTCTCGCTCATTGAAGCCACACCGCCCTCGTCCCCCTCCAGCTCACCCAACTCGCGCTCCAGCACAAACTCGCTCGCCTGCACAACAACAGCAGCAGCTACACGCACCACCACCATGGCGCTCTCCACACTCGCCTCGCTCGTCGAAATCAGCGGCGCTAAGAACGTCACGCTCTCGGCCGAGCAGACTTCCCGCCTAGGCAAACTAGCCGTCCGCTGCATGGATGACCCCGACGCGGATGTCAGAAAGGCAGACATTGAGTTTTGCGTGAAGCTGCATGAGCGCATTGCCAAGAAGGGGCCGGTGGACAGTAAAGAGGACGGCGGGTTTTGGAAGGCGGTTGCGGGGGCTAGTGAGCAGCATTTGAATCTCTTGACGTATTACCTCGCCAAGAGGGGGGTTGCGTAGCATCTTGCTTCTCCAGTTGGTCTAGAGGTGGGCGGGCGCGCATAGGCTTTGGATGGGCATTCTGGCAATTGTGACGGCGATGGTGGTGGTGTTGGTGCGGTGGAAATAGTAATACAGGCTTCCTTTGCTTATCTGAACGCAGTCGGTAATGAAGGGTAGGCGGTAGGCGTGCTGCGCAGGCAAGAAGGCAAAGGAGAGGGAAAAAGGGAAAAGCAAAGGATGACATCACCAGGCAGGCCTTTATTACACATTCTTTTCTTCTTCATAACACCAGTCAACTCCTCGTTCGCCTCGTAAACACATTTCCACCCATATCCCGCATCCGCCAGTCTCCTCTTTTCTTCTTCCCCCTTTATTTTCTCCTTCTCCTTCTCCATGACAGGGCGTTTTCACGTGGCCGGGGCAAGTAAGAGTAGACAGGTATCTGGCGTTTTGGCTGGCTCTTTCTTTGCAATTATTTTGGGGGAAGTGGGGTTGAGACGGGGTGTGGGTGGGTGATTTGTATAATTGTATATCAGATTGTATTATATTATCATTTATTGCATCGTTTCCTCCTGCACTGTATCTCCATCTCACCATCTCCTTGTTTTTTCTTGCTTCTCTTTTTTTTTTTTTTTTTTTTTTTTTTTTTTTTTTTAAAAAAAAAAATTTTCATACATTCGCTGGGTCTTGCTCAATTCGTTTCGTTGCGGGGGTTCGGGTCTTGTTTGTGATTTCTCTCCCATGGGGTGGTGGGTTGCGGGGAGCTGGTGTGTTGTGTGGTGAGTTTAATTGCGTTGTGTGTGGGTTCGAGAGGTTTTTTATTCCAGCGGGGACGGTGGAGGAGGTGTACAGATGCAGTGGCGTTGACAGCCGTGCTAGGAGAAGTATGGCAGTTCTGTAGTGAATCCGTCCTGTCCTTTCCTATGGTTAATGGCTATTTCACCATAACCCATCGACTCCAACGCACCGCACTCACCACCAACATCGCAGTCCACAACATCTCCAATAATATTCATTCATACCAAGACGGCGTTTTGCCACAGCGCGACTATCCTGATCTAACTACCCAAAGGGCGGGGAGGCGGGGAGGCGGGGGACCGCAGCACGCAAGTTACAAAGCAGACATGTAGACAGGAGGACAAAGTATGATAGAATAACCTGTAAAAAAAAAGTGTAAAAAAAAAGAAGACACGAGTCGAACGAGTCGAGGGAGAAAACGACTGAAAACGCCAGAAAACACGTGAAAAACACCGACACACTTTGATCCAGCCAGACCGAAACCCAAACCAAGCCAATCCAAAAAAAGAAGCAAAAACAATCGGTCGATGGCCTCGCTTGTAATGTCTCATCATGGTCATCGTTTGTCCATGCTGTCTGTTGTTTTTTCTGGCTTCTGTTTCCCCCGCGTCCCCGCCTACTGCTCCTTCGCTTCCACCCGTCAGTGTTGAGATAGTATAACTTTTGATTACTTCAAATCTCCAACTTTGCATACCCCTCATTTCCCTCAGCAACGGGCGCAACATCCGTCATACCAACATCGCTCTTGACGCCCACGCTCTCCTCGCCCCTACCGACTCCAAACGCCCTCACGGCCTCTGTGAGCGCCGCAACCGCCTCCTCGCTATTCATACTGCCCGGCAGGCCCTGGCCGCCCAGGTTACTCGCAACCTTCTTCGTCGCGTCTTCGAGCGCCCTGACACGACGCTGAAAGTTGAGTCTGTCGAGGAATAATTGCTGTCTACGACGCTGGAGATCGCGTCGCTCGGCGGAGAGTAGTTTTTCAAAGTCGTTGAAGTGGGCGAGTTTGAGGGAGAGCTTTTGCAGTTGCAGGTTCACCGAGCCGGAGACGAGGCGCGTGATGTGGCGTTCTTCGTGGGAGGCGAGGGCAGAGGAACGGGCGGCGCTGAGGGCAAAGGGAAGGGTGACCAGAGGATTACTGAGGCTGTCGTCTTTGTTGGCTGATGCGTCCTTGCTGGCAGTAGCGGTGGTGGAATCAATGTCCATGGCATCTTCTGCGGTTTCGGGCTTGACGTCCGTGGTTGTGGCCGAGGGTGTCGATATCTCGCCCCCCTCCTTCTCTTTACCCTTTTCCGAGGGCGCGGTAGGGGCTTTGTTGATTTTGTCTTGGAGCATGCGTTTCATTTCACCGACACTGCGACCAGATGCCACTGCGGCTTCGGTGACGTTTGCAGGAGCAAGACCGGCGAGGAAGCTGACGACGCTGAGAATAGGGTTATCGGCGTGGTGGATGGGAACGCGACCTTGGCTGAGGTACTCAAGGTCGCGCAAAAATTTGGTTGAAGGGGCTGCGGATTGCGACTCTGGGAGCTCGGCTTCAATGTACTTGTCTTCAATCTCGAGTTGGAGAAATTTCATGACACATTGCTCACGCGTCTTAGTTCCTACGTAGTCGGCAACACGATTCCAATCGTCATCGAATTCCTCAAGGCCTTCGAGAAGAAGAAGAGTCTCCTCTTCTGTCCACTTCTCCTCGGTCTCTGAAGCTAATGCAGACTCAGGTGTTGAGATTTTGGCGAAGTCTGCTGATGACGTGCCGGATGGGAAGTTGCCTTCAACAAAGCACCTGGGGCACAGATCGCGCTTCAATCCACCTACTGACTTGGTCTGTCCGGGTTGTTCGGATGGCTTGGCTTCGTGGAAATGTACGCGAGTGCAGTCGACACCGCAGCTGAAGCAGTTGATCACTTTGAGGGGCTCCTTGACTGCAGCTTCGAGATCCTTTACATCTACTGAGCCACCATTCGCGGCTCCCTCGCCATTGGTAGCCTTCTCCTTGGGCTCGGCGGAAGCCTCCTTGCCGTTTGCCTCGTAGATGTTGCGTCCAGCGAGCGTTTTGGTCTCGCTCTTGGCAGTGGGTTGCAAGCTCGCGGCGCGGTCGGTACCTGCGTGCTGCTTGCCATCAGTGATTTTGGAGCCTGGGCCTGGCTGAAATGGCTGTAGTCCGCGAGGTGTGTCGACCGTGACGCGGAAGTGGCCTGTGAAAGGAGGTCCAATATTCGAAGGCCGTTCTTGAGGGTCGACCTAGGCAAGTTAATCATGTCTCTTGGGTGGTTGCTAGCCTTTGCCTACCTGGTAATTGATGAGTCCCCATTGCTCAAGGAAGGCGTGTACGCGCATGATGGCGCAGACATCTCCTGCCAAGTTCCTTCGGCAGGCTGTCACTGTGAGGTACTCGGAGGGGTTCAAGCGGTAGGTGTTGATCATGAAGTCACGGTAATCGCGGTACACTGCGGGCGTCTTGCTGCGATTGCGGCCGTTGAAGAACTCGGGCAGCGCCTTGCGCTCGCGGAAGTCGATGTAGCGCATGTCGAACCAGGTGGCATAACTGGGGATGATGGTCGCATATGTCTGTTTGACAAAATGTGAGCGCGCAGCAGATTGAAGATCGGCTTTGGCTTGTGCCTCTGGGTCAGTGGCTTGCGCGCCATCGCCGTCCTTTTCTTTCTTGGCGTCATCGACGCCGCCCATTTCCTCGTCGTCCTGGCCGTCTGCATCTTCTGCTTCAGGGCGGGGGCCGTCGGGCGCATCGAGGGGATTGTCTGAAGCTACAGCAGGCGTGTTTGGCACGGGTGACTGCGAAGACTCTTTTGGGGCTGGGTCCTCGAGCATGTTGGTGTCTAGGGAGGTTAGTGAGTCTGAGTCCCTTTTGAAGCCATGCATCATGCCAGCTAAAGAGCGGCATCGCAGGGCCATACTAGGAGCGCGCGAGGAGTCGGCTGCTCATGGCCAGTGCCGCCAAGGTGCAGGAACACATACCTTGATCGAGCGCATTGTTTTCTGCAGCAAGCCCTTCTGCAGCAATCGGGGGCTCCTGCGCAGATGATGCGCTTGCGTTGGTCTCGTCGGCCATGGCTGAGGTTGCAGTGGCTTTGGGGAGCAGCAGCAGCAGAAGTAATGCCTACTCTAGGCTACCTACTATCCTATGTCCCTGTCAAGACTGGGGCGCGTTGCGAGCTTGGCAGGCGCAGTAGCTAAGGACACGCAAGCAGGAATTGTTGGTGGCGCACGCGGTGGGAAAAGAGTCACGCGACTCAAGTCGAGGTCGGCGAGATTGGTGAAGGGGCGCGGTGCGTGCAAGTGAATGTGGGCATGGAGGGGATGCGAGGCCGTGTGGGCGTGGTAGGCGCGTCGGAAGTTCGCGATGCTCGTCTCTCTTTCTGCCAAGACATGACTCACGTGATCATTTGCCTGCGTCCAGTCTAGCCATCTGCTTCTACTCTAGGCACAGTGTGCGTCCCACCAATGCAATCTTCAAGGGCTTAGCGGCGGATAAGCCAACTTCAGCCTTGGATTCAAACCGAGGTCATTGTCTCCGCCTGCTAAGCCGTCTAGGTCGACTGCAACATTGGCACGGGAACTGTCCTTTCTCTGGACTCTGGTTGCCCTTTCTCGTTGGCTGCTTCGTGAACACACGCATACACATCTTCATCGCCCTCCATGTTCTCCATAGCACGGAATACCGCGCTCCGAGCGGCGCGGGCATCGCTGCGGTCGTCGCATCCCACCGCCGTCCCACAGTACTCGGCCTTTGCGCGACTGGCCTCCACACTCGCCGTTCTCGAACAGAAGGAGGGGAAACTCGTCTCACAATCATTGGCCGCAATTACAGCAGGAACAAAGCTCGGAGGGTCAATAACTGCATTTGTTGCTGGAGGTGGGGTCAAGTCGGTCGCAGAGGAGGCGGCAAAGGCGAAGGGTGTGGAAAAAGTTATTTACATAGAGAATGCTGCGTACGACAAGGTTGGAATATTGGCACCAAGAAGGGGAACAGCATGGTGCTAACAAACTGTTACAGTGCCTCCCCGAAAATTATGCGCCACTCTTGGTTGAGAACATCAAGAAGGGCGGCTACACCCATGTAGTCGCTGGCCATTCTGCCTTTGGCAAGAACATCATGCCCCGCGTCTCAGCCCTGCTAGACACTCAGCAAATATCCGACATCACAGCCATTGAGAGTGAAGACAGTAAGTGGGCATAGTACACAAGATCTAGCTTTAGTCGCTAAACCCTCTCAGCATTCGTGCGTCCAATCTACGCCGGTAATGCGATCATGACCGTCCAGTCTTCCGATAGCATCAAGGTTGTCACCGTTCGTGGTACCGCATTCCCCGCACCAGAGACCGAGGGTGGCTCTGCATCAATTGAAGAGGGCGTCGACCCCAAGGCTGAATGCCAGACCGAGTGGATATCTGAGGATCTCGCAAAGTCAGATCGCCCCGATCTGGGATCAGCAGACAAGGTTGTGTCTGGTGGACGTGGGTTGAAGTCAAAGGAGGAGTTTGACAGGATCATGACTCCTCTGGCTGATGCACTTGGTGCTGCCATCGGTGCCTCGCGAGCGGCCGTTGACAGTGGCTTCGCCGACAATAGCTTACAGGTCGGACAAACAGGAAAGAATGTCGCACCACAATTATACCTTTGCGCTGGAATCTCTGGCGCTATTCAGCATCTGGCCGGTATGAAGGACAGCAAGGTCATTGCTGCGATCAACAAGGACCCGGAAGCACCCATCTTCCAGGTCGCAGATGTTGGGCTTGTTGGTGATTTGTTCGAAAAGGTACCAGAGTTGACTGAAAAATTGAAGGCGCAATAGCGTCCTGATATTGACAATATCGAAGTTTGCAGATAGTCAAAAAGAACAACAAACAACTGGAAATCCAATGATACAACTGGAAATCCAATGATTATGCTCGATAGTTATAGTAGACATCCGCGCAGTACATTCTATTCTCACCGGGGCCCCGATCATGAATGAGTATGGGTTCTGGTGCTGTCTTCATCCAAATGACAATGAGCAGGAATAAGCATTTGGTTGCGGAAGGCTTGGCATTCGTCCCATGTGGTTGATCGACGCTAGTGTCATGCAAGTCATGCCCCCCAGATCTAGCACCATACGATCTTCTTTAATCAAAACTTCTCTGCTCCTCTTGCTTTTCGGACGTTTAATCCACGCCCTCTTACATCCCATCACGCTATTTTGACCCCTTGCTACGCCTTACAGCCGTATCCCGACACTCTCATTCTATAACCATGCCTATTTCGATCTAGTCTCCTGCCCCAGCAACTCAGTCTTCCATATCTTCCGGGCTTCAAGGACTTGCAAATAACGCGGTTTCCCGCGCATAGCATGTCCCAGTCCTACCATTCATCATCGTAATATCCTGGATCTGTTGGATGCGACCTGCAAGGCTATCAGGGCAATGTCTCAGACATCGAGACCATGACCTCAACCAACGACACAATTTCGCCGTCACCTTCCGAAAATAGACCAACGCAAGATGAAGCGTCAGAGTCGCCTGAATCAGAGGAAAGGAAGTGGTGGAGTGTATGGGGAAGATGGAGAGATGGCGACCAAAGTGATTGGTGGTTTGCCAGTACGGGGATTCCGTAAGTTTATGATATCGTGAGACGATATACGCCTGACATGTAGTCTCTATATCAATATATTAGAAGAAAAAGATGAGGAGATTCACTAACGATACCTCAGACTTCTAGCCGCTACCCTTGGACCTTTAGCCAACGTAACCTCCATTGCCGCCTTAGTTACAAGTTGGCGACAGACCAATTACGTAGACGGGCAGTGGCTATCCGATTTGGAAGGCGTTCCTTACGCTGACCCTAGGTGGCAAGTATAATCTATATCTTTAGATGAGTTGAAAACTTACAGATTCCAGGTGCTACTGGATCAACGTCGTCTCTCTCATCTGTGGCTTTCTTGGCAACGTCTTCCTGCTCCTAAACTTCACTCAGCGCGTGCGCTATATCATCGCACTTCCAGCTACCATCATTCTCTGGTATCTCTCCTCCGGTTTTCTCATTGCAATTACAGTATGTATGAATACTTATACGCCTCCTGATAGACCCATCGAGAGTTATACGCAAGGCTTCTGGTACGCCATTGCAGCAGCAGTGTTTTACACCATTTGCTCCATGATTCTTATGATCAATATGTCGGGACACTTTCTGGGACATTACGGGGAAGAGTTCAAGCTGAGTGACAGTCAGCGGACGCTGATTCTTCAAACAATGGCATTCTTCATCTGGTTGGCAGGAGGGGCAGCGGTGTTTGCAAAGTTGGAAAGTGACCAAGGGGAGATTTGGGGCTTCAGCGATGCGGTAAGTTCTATCCATGTCACCACAAGTCTCAATAATCACACAGGCCGCTCGAGCGGATCTTTTTCACGGCCAGCTAATGGCAATATATTGCTCGTAGAGCTAATTCGTAGCAGTTGTACTTCTGCGATGTAACCATCCTGACCGTTGGCTTCGGCGACCTCGTTCCCACCTCCGATGTCAGCCGCGGCATTGTCTTCCCTTATTCTGTTTTTGGCATCATAATGCTCGCTCTCATTGTCTCCTCGCTCTATAAAGCCGTACATGAACTGGGCGAAGAAAAGGTGGTCCAGAAACACGTTGATCGTCTCCGCTCCCGCGTTGTCCAACGAACAGTCATCAACTCTTTCGACCTCCGACACCACGAACTTGAAGCTCATAATTTGGTCCGGAAGCGATCAAGAGTGCCTTTGAGCATCAGCGCACCCATGAAACTTCGACAATATCGACCCACGTTAGATGAGCAAGGAGAAAGGACTCAAGAAGAAAACGCACCAACCTTTTCTCACGTTACAACCGCCCTAAGGCGAAACAAAACCCCCAAAATCATCCTCCTCAAAGCTGAAAAGGACCGATTCGAAGCCATGCGCCGCATTCAAGCCTCATCGTCCCAATACAAGCGCTGGATCGCGCTTTTCTGGTCCGTAAGTACTTTTAGTATCCTATGGTGTATCGGTGCTGTCATCTTCTGGCAAACTGAGAAACATACATTGGGCTTGACCTACTTTCGGGCTCTATATTTTTGTTACATCAGTCTATTGACCATAGGCTATGGCGACCTTGCGCCAAAGAGTAACGCAGGACGCTGCTTCTTTGTGGTGTGGAGTCTTATTGCAGTGCCAACAATGACGATTCTCGTCGGTGATCTGGGTGACACAGTTGTGGCAAAGTTCAAGTTGGGATGGGATGGTTTTGCAGATTGGGCAATTTTGCCCAGGGAAGGTTTGTTTTCTCATCTTTTCCTTTGCCCTTGACCCTCTCAGAGAATGGCGTACCACTCACATTCTGGCGGAAGGATAAGTGAAGTTGCTGACAGAAGCGGAATAGGTATATACCGTGCCTTTCTGAATCGCTACCCCTGGCTTCTCGACTGGCTTCAACACCGCATCGAGACCCGCGCCGCGAAACGACGCCTACAGAAAGGCTTTGAAACCACTGACCCTGAAACCTTATCAAATCCAAATGACATAGATATTGAAGCAGACATTCCCAATCGCGCTACCGATGCCGACCCAGACACGTCTACGACAGACGTGATTCGTGTGCCCACCATTGAAACACTGGCCTTGGAAGCCGAACAAGATACTTCAGCCACACCAACGCACTCATCACTATCTCACCACCTCGCTCTCACTATTCAAGCTGTTGCTCGCGATCTCCACTTGCCCAAGAAATGCTACTCCTATGAGGAGTGGGTCGAGTTTACCCGCTTGATCAGATTGACTACTCGTCACTACGCTCATAATCACAATTACAATCACAGAGGCATCGAGGAGAATGGCGAGCACATTGACGAGCGCCCGGAACAGCAGGGAGAAGAGGATGAAGATGAGGAAGAGGGCCTGGTGAATTGGGATTGGATAGGCGATGATAGTCCGATGATGAGCGGTATTGGGGAGAGTGAGTGGTTGCTGCATAGGCTTTGTGAGAGCTTGGTTAGACTGGAGAGGAGAAAGGTGAGTATGTGTGGAAGTGGGGTGCAGGAAGAGATGCGCAGGATGCAAGGTATGGCTGAGGAGGACATTATTCGAGGAAAGAACGAGAAGAAAGAACGAGAAGAAATAAGACAAAGAGCGGGTTGACAAGGTCACCAAGAACACGACATGACCGGCTGCCCCCTAACTTCACAGTCCATTACCATCACTTCTCATTCGGCACCAAAAAAAGACATAGTGAAATCAACAATCCTTCCCCTTTTAGTCTACTACGGCGGAATCGACAACACTTTTGACCGTTTGCAACAAGCGAGTGTCCACGGCCTGCAAAGATTCGGCGGATATGATACCAACTACTTGACAGAAGAAATAAACGAGCAAAGAAGAGCTTTGCGGTAGCAAGGACATGCCGCAGGTTAGGTCTAGCCAGTGATCCTGCTTCAAGAGAAGATAGAGGGTGGGACAGCGTATTGACATCCTCCCAAAGGAAAGCTCGCATGCTACTATCGCAGTACGCAGCTCGTGCGCTAGATATCGGGGCTGTTGAATGACGTAGCTTGTAATTTCGTCGCGTCGTGCGTGCGGAGATATATTAGGTGGTAAGGAGCCTCTCGACTCGCAACAGCAACCGAAATCATTCCCATCATCAAAGCTACCCCAAGGTATTACGATAGGCCCAACTACGCGGTCCCCGGTAAATATTCGCAGTGTGATGGGTCATTAATCGCGGGAGTGTCGCCGACGATGACGGTGCATTCAATGCTGCTGATTGCATTGTCGAAGTCGGGGCGTAGACTGTCAACAGCAATAGTTTGATTGGTGGCGCCGACCACGAAACGAGGTCCGTTCGTGGGGCATCCGTGGTCACTATTTGGGTGGTCCTTCACGTTAGGGTGGTTGGTAGAAAAGGGGATGGAGAGGGAGACGTTAGGGAAGGAGAAGTGGGTGGAAGGAGGACGTGGTCGCCTACAGGAAGAATTCGCAACGATAACCCTGTTCCGTATTGAGACTTCTCGTCCTGTCGTTAAAGTCGGCGTAGACCAAGTGTAGATCGGTGCAGTGCCCATCTGCAGGAATGCCGAATTGGCCACCTTTGAAAGCAAGGTCGTTCCAGATGGTTACACCTCGGCCATCTTTTACGGGGTCGGGCAGTTTTGCCTTTTACTTTAGTGAATATCATTGATGTAAGAGCGGTTTCTCTTGGAGCTGGAAAACCTACAACCAACAGCGCTGAGACAGCGCTTGAGAGCGCCAGTACCAAAGTCACAGCAAACATGTTTAGATGAATTCGCTATGGAGACGAGCTTCGGAGTGGCAGAGACAGTGTGTTAAAGTGTCGAAGAAGAAAGGGTCTCACAGCAACTGGTGAGATGGCTGCAGAGGACGAGCAGGCTTTGTAGGCTGATAGTGAGAGCTAAGTACTTGACTGGACAGCGACCAAGTAAGTAGACACCCTCACGTATCGATGCACAGAAAGGCGAGGCGTGTTCTACGGTATGGCCCGTTTATGGTCATAAAGGCTAATTACGGTCCTATTTGACATCTTTCCCCTGACATTTGGTACAAAGTCAGATTGCGCGACACTTCCGTTTCGTGTGTCTGTCCACTTTTGGTCGGGGCAGGGAGTAGGCTGGTCTTACATGGTAAAATGCCAATCTGTTGATAGAACTGCGGCTATCTAGCATCATTGAACCCACAAAGAGGATACTACGGCACGGCGTCATCATCACCAATGTATTCCGTCCCCAAGAAGTGCCGTCTCTTGTTGTAGTCGCACCGACAGGGCGGCCAAATCCAGCTTACATACAGTACCCAACGTATGATGTTTCTACATGGAACCAGTTAGTCTGAGAAAGGTCCGCTAAACTCTCACCGCACTAATTAGGCGAAACGACCATTGGGCCTGTTAATCCGAAGACGACGGCTCATTCTGGCAAGGTGTTAAACTATGATCTCACAGGACCGCGATAATCTTACATAAGGCTGTCTAAAGTTATTGTAGCATGGGACTCTACGACGTCTAGATCTTCTCTCTCGGTTTACCGGTAGCTATGGGATTGTTCACATTTCATAAACACACCATGCTATGCACCCTGCATCCCTACTGACCTTGTTTCTGCAAATCGCACAGTGTGTAGGAATTTAATTGATTGGCTGACTCCCTCTTGTTGTCCCAGAGATGTCAACAGTTCTCATGTGCATCGTTATGGTACTGTATATCCTCCTTGTGTAATTACAAAGTTCGGAGCACAATTAAAGATTGGGCTAAGAAATCAAGTACTCCCACCCGTTACCGTACGTGTTAGCCCCGGCAAATTTACCATCTGTCCTATGAATCTTAGCGACTTGGACAGGTCCTCATAATTATACCTAGCTACCATGAATCGGATTCTAAGCCAACAGTACACTCCCCCATAGTTCCCAGCCCGGTCGTACCCCGGCTCAAAACCTCTTGTGGACATCGCTTGTGGGGTTTATGTGGAGGAAGGCTTGCCTTGCGGAAGCTTGTTACACCTGTAACATGTCACAGCAGGTTGCACTCCAGTCGAGCCTAGATTGGTAGTGGGAGACGTTCAAGTAAACCTCTTGCAACAACTAGACAGAGAATACAGGCTCTACAACCCCTATAGTTCCAAAATGTAGGACAAGCTCAAGACATTCTCACACTTCAAGCACCACCACAATCGCACATCCATATCTAAAGATTTGCATATTTTGCACCTACCATAATAATAAAAAATGCATCTTAATCCTACGGCGTCCAAATCCACTGATATACAGCCGAACCACCTACTACGTAATGTAAGATAGGTAACTCCGCCACAATCATGTTGAAGTCTGAGACAGACAATTAACACCGTAGAGATTGACGATTGTAATCGCGGCAACGCGTCAACTCTGCCCCACAACAATGGCGATGTATTAATGCGGACAATAGGGGAAAAAGGCCCGAAAACTGCGAGCTTGGGCATGTTCCCGCCATCTTCTCTGGTAAATCGTAATATGTACAAATAAGGAGCGCCTAAAAGTCGGGCTGAAAACGTGTATGGCTGTATGTACTGCAACATCAGTGGAGGTTGGCGAATTTCTTAAGGTACCATAAGTTAGCACTGGCGATCGAGCGACAGACTAGGATTGATGTTGATCGAAGACGCGAGGTGTGGATTGTGCAGGAGCTTAATTTGTTTTCTCACCCAAAGGCATATGAAGAACCGAGAAACCGATTACGAATGCGAGGTTGTGAGTGGACAAATCCTTCTTACCTACAATCAGAACTATACCGGTAGTATCTGCATCCAGAGTTCAGGAATCTCCCTATGCTGGAGAGTACAGACATATTGGTTCGCATGCCTACACCCTGTAGACCACTTTACCTGCTAACATGTGTGCACCCCTGATACAAGATGTGGAGTTCCTGCAGCAAGCTCCACAGAAGCTTGTTCGTGTGTCGATCTCGTTCGGAGGCATGTCTTATTAGGCCGGTAGGGTAGTGCCCTGTCGCAGCCCCTTGTGCATGGTTCCTTCAAAATCCCGCGTCGGTAGCTTGATCAAGGTGAAATATGGACTTGGAGCTTTGGGGGACCCACAATGTGAATCTCACTTAAATGCCATACATCTCTATGGCTGGCACACTTTTCCAATAGGAAGGATGTTATACCCTCCGAAAGCGATATCTGGTAGTGTCTAACTAGACACTTGCCTGATCCCTCGGTATGCTCCATGCTTCATCATGAGATGGAAACCTTGAATTATGGAGCCTTTCAGTTAACGACAAAGAATCTCAGTCGGTCAGCTTTTTCCGGTGTTCTGGTGCGCTGTGGCTCCCTCAAGGGCACTTCGCGATGATTAATGAAGATCTGCGGTCCTCATCGTCCTAACCTTCAGAATGAACTGTTTGCCTCTCATTCTGAGTAAAAGATTGAAACCTGACCGGTCAAAACCAGGATCCGGGCTTTTCTTCGTAAGGAAGACCTTTGTGTCTTTAGTACCAGCTGATTAGTCAAGTAGCTGACACCCCAAGATCCTATTTGTGATGTTGCTGAATGCATGCGCCTGCGTCACGACATCACGACCACTCACTCTACTCTTAAATTTTCTAGATTCTTGTTCCACAGAGAACTCTAGGAAAGAACAAACCGACCAAGAAGCGTTTACTCTTGTTTAGAGTCCTTCATCCACAGTTACCTTCTATGTGGTAACCATGGGAAGTATCCGCAAGATGATGTCTCGGACGTAGAGGTTTCTGTGAAACAACAACACCTTGTCGCTCGTACTAGAGTATCCGGATTTCAACGACGTACCGATAATATTTCCTCAGCGTTTTGTACCAGTCAAGGTACTCCAGGTTCGTCCAAGATAAGGCCGTAATCAAGGCACCCAAAAATTCGGTTCGAGTCTCCCATGGTGCCATTCGTGGCTGTAAGAGCAGAAGAATTCGGCATTTTCGTAGGCAAAACAGTTCTTCTAGCCTCTTGCTACTTCTTGATATTAAGCCACGGTAGGTTTACGGGAGCCATACAGCCGGACCGTCTTGTGAACTTGTTTGCCGGAGCATTTTGGGAGGAACAGGATCCTGGAAGGGATCACTGGCGCAGGCGTCCTGCATTGCGGATCATTTTTATCATCGGTGAACCCATATCGATGCTCAATCAGGAAGGAAGCCTCGAGGTAGAAGCCTTTGAATGATCCTCCCAATTTGCATCACCACTGATGGCAAGTCGACGCGCCCTTGGGATCTATTCATAGCCATGGACAACAATAGAGTTGCTGGTCCCAAATCATCGGGGAGTGGGTCCAATCACGGCCAGAAAGCGAATTTTCCTTTAATGCATTGAGCGAACAGCAGTCCACTACGGCTTTCGAGGTACGTACCTACATATGGCCGAAAGCATCTGAGCAAAGGCTGATCAATTTGCATTGTTGAACGAGGCCAAGATTCGATGTTCTGGTGCCTATGGGGCCTTTGTTCCAGGATTTAGAGGCAGTCCCTCCTCATTCGCAAGATCAGAGGCCCGCCTCCGCTTTTTGGCCCAAACCTGTCAATATCTCTGCATTGATCTATTTGATATTCGTGGTACTGTGGATGCCTTTATCTCAATTATTACCTGTCACCAAGGACAAGACGAATAACTTTGGGCCAGTATTCAGAGCTGTTCTTCTTGGTGCACTTAAATAGTGGAAGGAAGACGTTCAAAATGCCTGTCGCTCAGTATGAGTAGATTCGGATCCGGATCACAGTTTGTTCAAAGGCAGTTTGACGTCACCTACTTGATTTTCTTTCTGGTTTAGGAGCAGCAGTAAAGATTATGGTCGAGCAGAGCAATCGTTTGAATGAGAGTTGAGAAGCTCATCGTATTTGTCAGGCGATCCTTCTTTATGTCTGTAGACTCCCTACTTAACCACAATTGATAGACTTTAAAAACTCTGGCGTATTGTGAGACATGCTGAAATTCATAGTAGACTTGTGCCGATTCGTAGCATGTTTTATTAGATCATAGAAATTGTCATCGGTGGTCAGTTGGAGATCTCGAGTCTGCATCCTCGCCTTGTGCTCGCCCAACTTGCATCGACTGTTAATTGACGGCTCCAGCTGGCTCTTGGCTGAAGATGGTGAATTGAGGACACGACAGACGGAGACATAACCCTCGACGAACAGGAACACACAAGAGCGAGAGTCAGGCCCGGCGAAAGGCTTAGCGAGCAGAGCGACTAGATTGGGCTAGCGTTTCATCACACAGCCTCCCTATCTTGATTGGACAATCTCGCCATACCGGTAATGTGGCGGTGACAACAACTCAGCCAGCAAACGCAAATCCGAATCCGCATGTAGATCCTAAAGGAACCAGGGTCACCGGGACCACATGACCACACCGCAGTTTCGCCTTGAAATCAAACTTCACACACAAACACACATCAAATTCATCTTTCACCACGGCACCCCCTTCAAACCCTTCCAACAGTGCCGCTCCCTCCCCCCCCCCACAGGAAAAAGGGGGAACTCGAAGCCCAGAAAACCCAATATGGCGCATAATCTCGCACCCATGCCGCCTCCAGGCCTAATGGTGTATCGAGGCTTCATGGCCGAACAGCCCGAGACCTTTCTCTTCAAAAGCCGAGATTTGTGGTCTTCGAAAGCGTCGTTTTCTATTAGCCGGGCGACACCGTCTGGTGAGGTCTTGGCCCCGTTTCTGGATCTGAAAGAGGGGCCGAGAGATAACGTTGTGTTTCGGACGCTGGATGGGTACGAAGTCATGCGCATCATACGCAATAGGCGGAGTTGGAGCGGCAAGGGGGCAAAGTATTATGGGATGAGAGGGGAAGAGGAGATTTGGCAGTTGAGGTTGGTGAGGGGGTTGAAGGGGACGAGTTACGGTATGTTGGGTTCTCAACTTTCATCGCAACGTTTTAATATCTATTTGTGCAATGGCCATGTGTTCGGAGGCATGTTTACTTATGGATTGGTGCTAGAGCTTGATATTCATGATCGTGCTGCCTATGGGTGGCGGGTCGAGGTGCATAATAAAGTGCAAGGCCAGGAAAAGGGCATCCTGGTTGAAGGTAATCCTGTGTCCACCATGTCTCGGTTTCAAGAATGGAAACATATATCCCGGCAGGATATCGTACATGTTGCGCCTGGAATGGATATCATGATTGCGCTGGGGGTGGCCTGGATCAGAGCGGATAAGCAGGAGCAGGATACTCAGACTGTGGCTGCTCTTGTCTAGACCATAGATAAGACACTCGGCTGTTGTGCGCGGTGTTGTGGTTCTCCTTAAGCAGGGCGTTACGGTAGTATCATTTATATATATACCCTATTGTGAATATTTTTCTACATGATTATCTGAATCATAATTTTCTCCTAGGCCCATATAATGCCGCGTCACGTCCAAGGGTGAACAAACGCCCATGCTGGCCAACACTGTTGTATTACCGTAATACGTCAGTGACTGTGCATAAATGACCTTCAGACAAGCAGGTGGTTACTTTCAAGATAACATGTTTCTTCGGAAAGAAAATATGACATGGCAAGGCGAGGCGCATACATACAAGGCATATGTGCGGAATCTGGGACTATTTATCCAAACACCACACATGCAAAAATACTTCGTACAGTGTTACACGAGCATTCTGGAACAAAGGAAATCACACAAGGCATTCCCCTCGGCTCAGAATTAGCGGCTGACAAGACACATCAGTCCGGATGATTGTGCTAAGCGAATAAATCAATGGAGCATCAAAGACCAAGATTGAAAATGGTATTGGGCAGTGCTGCAGCTCAAGTAACTTGAAAAGGGCCTGTTGATTACTCATTGGTGATTTTTGGCAATATGTAAGTATGCTTTTGTGGCACTCAAAAATACATGTATTTGTATAGAAATAGCAAGAACATTATGAACATTGTAATATACATGAAGGAATACCGGTTGACAATCACCTAGGCGCTCCAAAAGGGCATCCTTGAAGCCGCCTCGTTTTGCTGATTGGCCTCGGGTACCACCTGCGGAGCAAAGAACGGCTGTTGGGCAGGCCAACTCGTGGTGTTTGCGGGGTTGTTGTCGTGTGGAGCTGTAAGTGGCCCTTCGGCAAGAGACCTGGAACTAGGCTGGGCATGGCGAAGACGAGGGATCACTGGCACGCCTACTGATCGTGATGATATACAATCATAGCTCTCTATATCTGAGGTAGGGCTAGTCCACGAAGACACCATATAAGACGAGCAAGCCGGGTTCCAACCTTGACTGCTGGTCTGTGTGCTCATGGTTGTAGCACTGGCAAGTTGATCATGTAAAGGAGGGAAATATTCAAAGCTTACTGGTGCCGAATAAAGCGGCATTCCATAATTGCTTTGACTGGCCCCGTGATGTGAAGAGGCTCTGAGCTGTTGATAGCCGTCACATTGCGACACTGTATCGAAGGCGGTGTCACTGAAAGCGTCGGGCTGTTCAACGGACAAAGCGGTCTCTACAAATGGTTCCTGAAACGATGCTAGGGTCAAGTGATTTGTATCAACCTGCAAATTGTTCGGCTGATTGGAATTGGCGATAGGAGTAAACGGCATAGGGTGGCTGACGTCTCTAGCTGGACTTGTGTTGAATTGCTTCTCAAGAAAGAGGTCATCGTTGACGAAGCGTGAAACGTCATCAAGGTAGTACTGCCAGCCCAGTCCATTTGTTAGGCGCATATGGAGATCATTGTTGTCTGCCGCGAAATGTGCAGCATGGCCTGATTCTGTACCATAGCCTGCAACATACGGACCCACCAAGTCGCTCAGTAGGTGGTTGATAGCTGTAGTGGACTGTCGCGGAGGGGGAAGGATATGTTGTTGATCCGAAGACATCCAATCATCGTTCAGACCTTGTATCGCCTGGTCTAAAAAAGAAGGCAACGGATGCGCTTGATTTGAATGGACAATGCGGTATCGGTCCACTAGTTCTTGATTGAGAGGGCTATTGTCACCGATATCTACACCATGTGGTCAGTGTGTGCTTGGCGAGTCAGCTTCATGGTGATTTACATGGACTGGGAACCAATTCATCGTATGGGAAAAGTGTCTGGCATAAGGGTATCCATTGCGCAAGGATATCGCCTTGCTTCATAGTCCGAGGCAGACAATATGAGAGGTGGTCTTGACAGGTTTGCTCGTCAACGAAGTCCCGTTTACATGTCATACAGTGGCTGTAATACAAGATATCCGGGTGGTTCCTCATGGCACGCTTCGGGCGGAGGTGTGTTCGTATCTCACTCATATAAGTCGCATGGCCATTATTGGGGGCAAATTGGTTGATTCCACCCTATG